ATGTGTTAGGCTGATATTGATGTGCCTCGAAGTATACAACGTGCCTCGCAACGGACTTTGGTTCCTTTGGGGGTCTGCAAACCGCGCAGAAGGTACTAGTGCCAGCTCCAGAACAAAAGGCACCTGGTGCTCAGTAGGGAATGACCTTCCCGGTTTTGGGAATGAATCGGAAGGGGATTGAGCCGGAAGGGGATTTCCATAGAAAGGAGACCAAATCGCGGATTGTTCCCCAACAGCTGATAGCTTTGGGGTCTCAGCCCAGATAGGCTCTGGGGTGGCCTTGAGGTAAGGTTCCACGAGGGTTCCACCAGGGTTCCACCAGGGTTCCACGAGGGTTCCACGAGGCTTCCACGAGGCTCTGCGAGGGCTGCGTGGTGGTGCGAGCGCTAAAAGGAGCACGGCATGCTGTTGGGGATATCACCCGAGTTGTTTTTCTTCTTGGGGTCATTCCATTTCTCATTCCCTGCTGAGAACCAGAAAGTGTTAGCAAATTCCGAGCCGAACAGAAGAAATTAACCGCGCTTGGGGCGAGTGGCGCAGGCACCAGCGGCAGCTCCCTACTGCACGAGTGCAAGCTCTGCACAAAGCTGTCCGAGGACCCTATGGGAAACGTCTGGGTGGTGGTTGTGTTTTTTCTCTCTTGGCATACAAGCTGGAACCAATCTCCGAACTAGGACGCATATGTTTTGGGGGTGGACTCAAACTGAAGTATGACATCTGGAAAAGCGTGTGGGTTGTCTTCGGTGTGCCCCGTGTGGCCAAGATACGAGTGCAATCGGGCTTGGTTGATTTGTGCTTCCGTCTAAATGTTGCGTGTTTTCCGTATGGACATGGGTGAATGCGAGAGATAACGTCCCTCTCGAATGGACCAAAGACCACTTGGGAGTGGTATGGTCTGTTTTGGTGGTTTTCAAGGGAACCAAAAGCAACACAGAAACCATGTTGGGGATAAGAGAAAGTGAGGGGCCTCCAGCTTGATTTGTTTAGGCGTCTTGGCCAGTCGGACTGGCATATGCCTGAAAGACACCATTTTCTTTTGAAGAGGCCTTCTAGCTGCTTCCATGTTTGTTGTTTTGGGAGGGGTCGGCTGTTTTCAGGGCTGTGCTTCACCCGTCAACCTTTCTGGGCGTCACCAGGTATTCCGACCCTTGTAGGTATTCAGTCAGTACAGATGCACAACTTGAAATTGTAGCGGCCGCATGTAGCTGTTTAATTTACATATATTCGGATGCAGAATGTGTGTGTGTGTGTGTGAAGTTTTCAAGTTGTCCTTCTTATGCCCATCACAAACAAAGACAAAGGCGTGATAGTGGTGATATGTTTTGTGTTTGTGAAATTTCAAGAAGTCGTTCTTATCACAAACACACACCAGCGAAGACAGTACGCCCGCTGTGCAATTCATATTTCATGATCTGCTGAGGTCGTTTTCACAGATTGCAAAATGAAATGTGAGGCCCCATTAAAAGTTAGCGTTTCCTTTTACAGTTACCCCGTTACCAACAATTATGGAAGTGGACAGGGGGGCTTCTCCACAAGACAGCAGTCTTCCAAAACGATAGCCTTAGGCATCCAGGATTGGAGGGCAAGTTTTGCCAAACTGATCACAAAGACGGAAGCACAAGGATAACCCTGAGCCGTTTGAGTTTTAGTTGGAGCTCGTTTCTAGTCTCAATCCTTCCAACAACTTGTTTGCCTTCAGCCTTCCACCCTCTTGACTTTCAGCCCTGACTTCGGTTTGAGAGCCTTGAGCTACTGAAGTGCTGCAAAGCAAAATAAGTGTTTGGTTCCCCACAGCCAAACACAATCAAGGAGATCAAGAATTATGGACCTGGGGCTTCTGGTTTGATTGATTTGTGTGTGTGGGTGTGTGCAGCTTGTTGCACTTTCTCAAGTTCGAGGTGTTTTGAAGTGAACATGCAGTTTGATCGGCTGCCCTTGGCGCGGAAACAAATCCATGTTCGATTTAGGAACTGACAACTTCCACTTTGAATTCCAGCGGGCCTCAGCTTTTGGAGTTGTTTTTTTCTGGCCGGAGTGAGTACCTGGTGCGAGTTTGCTTGATTGGGCGCATAATTTTCCCGGCATACCCTCAATTTGGAAGAGGAAGGGTGAGAACTCCACGGGTGTTGGCTTGGCTTTGTTTGTGACCTTCGGATTTCGGATGCTTCTGTGACCTCCGGATTTCGCATGCTTCGTTCGGCTGCGAGCCTGTGGGTCTCCCACCGACTTATGATCCCGGGCCTTTCATTGGGCCCATCCAGGCTCTCACGCCCGCGGTGGCGAGCATCGAGAGCTCCGTGGCCGCGGCGCTTGACGCCGCGCGCGAGGAGGCGGCAAACAAATCATTCGGTCGCGAGATGCAAACACCCAACAAACACCCGCGCTTCCGTGGCGGTATGTTTTTGTGCGGTTGTGTTATTCCGATGTTGTGCTTGTTGTGTATATAATGATAATACTAGCATGAACATATACAATGGTAACACAGAATGATGCCTGTTTTTTGTCCGAGCTTGTACCGCCTTTGAAGGGCGTCTTCCATGACAGAGAGCCAAATTAAGTTCTTTGGTCTTGAACTTGGCATGCAGAGCCATGCCTAAGAAAGAGCCAAACAAACACCTAGATGGTGAGCAGTCGCATGGCCAACTTTTGTCCCAGACCTGACTTGTTGTTTAAAGCAGTTTCATGATGTGGGTTTAAATGGAATGCCTCAACCTAGCTGATGCACCAGCCACCGATCTATGCAACTATGCGCAACTCTCGGACCTCTTTCCGAAATGTCCTTATCATCTTTTCTTGATAGATGATCCCTGTCTGAAATGGATTGTTACAACAATTGCACAACATAAACCAAAATGATGGAATCGTGCCATGTACTTTCACGCTGTGGCTAACATCGCTAACATATCACCATTTCTCGTCCTGGTTCGACGGTTCGACTATGCTTTCCTCCTGGCCAAAGAAGGTAAGCACGAATGGCTGGAATTTGAGAGCTGAGCCAGTGCAAAAGGCTGCTCACAGAAGACACCAGCAAGTATGACATGGTATGACATCAATGGTGAATCTACCCGTCCTCAAACCGACAAAGTCAGAAAACAAAGACTGCCGCAGTGACGTTTCCAGCTGTCGATGGTTGGCTTGTGGATGTTGCGTTTCATCAGGTGGACATGCAGCTCTCTGGGGAGAGGCTGAAGGCGAGCCGAGCTATGTCAAGCAGTTGCTTTAAACGGGCGCCGTTTGGCGGCTACTGGATCAGTAATGATCAATCAATCTGGTTGACTGGGCAGATAGGAGACTTGAAGCCACTGACTTGCAGATCTACATGCTTCAAAACTGCTGAATGCACGTGCAACTCTGCACGGCCACATATATGTTTGCTTAGAGCATTGCCTGGGTCGCGGTTGCAGAGAAGCTCCTTTGCTGCCAACATCGGCTTTTGTGGCCGCCAATCTCTGCATGAGGTTAGGCGAGACAAGACCGTGTGGCATTCAGCCAGACTCTTAGACAGAACAAGTCATAATTGGAATCCAGCACCAGGATTGCTGGGTACATAGTTGAGATATACGTACCTGTATATGAATGTGTGCAAAGAAACATCAACCATGGCTGTAAAGTCCTTGTTACTCTTTGGAAGGTGCCTACAAGCAACGACTTGCCGTCCTCGTGGCAGATCATCTAGGATTTGTTTCGCAGTCATGTTCAATATTAACAAACAGTCAACGTCTCAGTCTCACGAAACCGTTTTTTGCACATGCCAACGGCGCATTGAAGGCGTCGCTAGCATCGCATGTTGCCAGATACGTCAGTTTTCCAAGAACAGCACTTGATCCCAGCCATGCGTTGGACGAAGAGATTCCATACCGGCTGACTTTCAGCGGAGCAACGCATACCACAACGCGGACATTAAAATAAGCGGAGTTGCCCCTTTGAGAGGAGTTGCAGAAGAATGTGAACGGCTTTGGCGGGCCGGTGAATGAGTTCAAGAGCTCAATGCACGGGATGTTTGGACCCTTTGTAGAGCAAGACCTCATGCCGCAAGTCAAGGGCGAGCGCCTTGGATTGAAACGCGACAAACATGCCGCCACCTGCATCAGCACAGGGTGCTCCTGGAGGGTCAAATTTCTTGCAGTCCGCTGTCCTTCGAAGTGCAACCTGTACCCATTATCCAAAGGGATAGACATTGTCTGACTCACGACAGGGTCGAATTGGAGCGGTAGGCATCATGTAGCCCCAATATGTTTGCTAGCAGCCCGCGCGTGGGCCTCGATTTAAAGTGGTTGTTGGGCAATTTGGGAGGGACGCGGGGGATCCATTCAAGCAACACGAAGACCAGAAAGCTCCCATGTCCACTTCGAGTACAGCAACATTTTGGCTGTTGATCCTTGCTCTGGCTCAAAGGGCAACGGAGCACATGGCGCTTTGATGAAGTTTGTGCAGCCGCAGAGACATGTTCATCAACAAGCATTCTTGTTATCAGCAAGTGGACATGGGGGCCATGCCCGTAAAGAAATCCTTCCATTCATTCCCCTCTGGCAAAATGGTCAGCATGCATGGAGGAGGCTAAACCTGATTTTGTTCCAGTGGAGCCACAATCAAAACCAGGTTAGTTGAAGGTTTGTAAGGGACAGTCCCACCCAGAAATGGGTGCCCTCGCCGCCTTGGTAACTCTTTCCATGGTTTTGGGTTCACCATTTTACTACCGATCGGTTCTGTAAATGACTTAGGGGATAGAGATATACGATCATCATTCTCTGCATTCGAGCCCGCGAGCTTGCCAATGGTATACTTTATGAACCTCCATTGTTTGCCTGGCTGCCTGTTTTATATCGAGCTCACCGATCCGGGGGTATAGCGAGCTATAACAAACGTCCTTTACTTAGGGATCCCTTAATGCAGCTTCTGGAATTATTTTAAAACTTGCAGATGAAGTGGACATGTTTTGCATGGCGGTTTATGTGCACCAACAACTTTTCAGGGTTTGGCCCGATTTAAGATAGCCAGCTGAGAAGCTTCCTTCTCCCACTTCGTCTCACTGCAAATCATTTGCATGGAGAACCAGTTGTACCTGGGGCTCAAGAATATCTATGGCCAACAGGTGTTGATCCCTTGGGGACATCAACACATTTCGACTGGTACGCAGAGGTTCCGCTGTCCTTGTGACATTCTACATCTGGCACGCGCGTCAAATATGGGAATCACATTGGGTTTGTTTTCGTCACCGACATTGTTGTTCGGCTACTTGTCTAGCTTGAACAACTAGCAAACAGCTTTTTGGCAGCTCACTGTGAACATTGCGGACATGGGTCTTAGGAATTTGGGGAGGGAACCCAAGAGGAAAACCGAAGCCATTTTGGAGGATCCAAATCCTAAACAAACTCCCATGTCCCATCAACCACCAACAAGAGTGTCCTTTTCCCCTAGCCATATTTTTCCCATGTCCATTCAACAACCAATTTAGGTGAGTTTTTTTTGCATCAGGTGAACACTTTCCCTGAACAACAATCACTTTTCCCCTTAGCCTTTTAGCCTTTTAGTGTTTATTGGTAGTTTCCATTTAACCCACTACAAGTTATTCACTTTTGGCGGGGGATCTGAGGGCCCAGCATAGTCGCCACACTCCTTCGGCTTCGCGTCGATTTTCGCCTGTCGAGGATGGAGAGCAAGGGCCGCCTGGGCGTCACCGCCTTGGCGCTGCTGGCGATGCTGCTGACGGCCTTCGGCCTGCTCTCGGTCTTCTGCTGGTGTCGGGTCGGCCCAGGCGCCCGAGAAAGGACGCCAACGAAAAGAGGGGTTCCAATATGCTGGTGACAGGCGTGTATATATATATATATATATTGTACATATATATATATATACTCGTATGTATATATTGTAGATATTTATATATATATATATGTGTATACATAGTACACATAATTACATAATTACATAGATTTATATTCATACTACACAAGCTCATACATGGACGTATACATGCACGTACACATATACATACTCATACATATGCAGATGTATTAAAATGCACAGATATAGATACAACCATGAACATACATAGTTATGTCTTGTATAAAAGCCAGCTGCACTGTGTGCTTGCGTAGAACTTTTGGAACCCGCCTTCAAGGGTGCCCCAAAGGTCCTCAGAGGTTCGTGGCTGAGAGTTTCCCAGCTCATTTTTAAGGACCAGCAGCCTCATCCTTCAAAGAGGGCACGGGCTGAAAGAAATGGGCAGACGGAACCGGGGAAAGTTCATACGTGTTTGCTGAAGTTCATTTGCAAGACCTGAGAGGCCCTAGATAATGCAGATGAGTTTGGCGCTTCGGTTTTGTCCATAGCAAGGTCAGTGATGAAAAACATATTTGTCGATCTTCCGCACTTTCTCGTGGGCAGATCACTGCAGATTGATTCGTTCAATAAAGTTTATATAGCTTTAGTTATTCTAACCTCCCACAGCCTCCCCAAACACCAACCATTCGGGTAAATGATGGTAAATCACCAGGGCCCCCTTAACTCTCAACTCGTATTATGCTTTTGGAATGACGAAGTCTGGATAGTGTCAGAAGAGCCATAGCCTCTCATCTCGGCTCGGAGCCAACTCTTCAACCCATGCGAGGCCAGGACACCAGGGCAGTTGGCCCCTTTTTTAGCGAGCATCATTTTGGGCCTGGCTCCATATGAAATCCCCCGAACGTGTATGTGCGTGCGTTTTCGTGTGTGTGTGTGAGTTTGTGTGTGTGTGTGTTTGTGTGTGTGTGTTTGTGATTGTTTCCCTTCAGTGCCTTTCAGCTATCCTTTCAACGGGGCAATGTTGACCCCGGATTTAGAAAGCCCTGCAGATTAAGTCTTGGGGGTGCTTCCTCCCAGAGTACCCATGGCCAGCTCCGTCAGCGAGTTGGAAGGACTCGCAGAGCAGAATGCCCAATGGAGGGGATGCCTTAGGTGGGTCATTTTCTTCTAAGCAACGATGCTACCAAAGAAACCCAGGTGGTATTGGGACCCAACAGGCCCAGAACCCCCAGAAAAAAAAAAGAGAAAAAAGAAAAAAGAAAAACAAATCACACTCCGGAACCCTTCCTGAGAGCTTCCTCATGGGCGTCCAGCTGTTGGAGTAAAAAGCTGCCCTGTTCCCCTTTTTCGAGGGCTTGGGGCGTGGGTTACCTGGCACAAAGGGAAAATCGAACTCCAGCAGTTGGAAACTCAAGTCAGTGGGAAAGAGTGGCCTCTTTGCCTAGCAACCAGATATGCACATACGTTGGATGAACAAAATCCTGCATCACCTAATACTAAGAAACCCTGAAACAGCGATTCGCTGCAAATACCCGCAAACAATGGTTTCAATATGGTGCAGGGTTTCGTCCATCCACAGTATGTATATGAGTTTGTCTGAGTTTAACCCCAAGAAGCTGGTTTGGGTTCCTTTTGAACCCACCGAAAAAAAGCTACCCTCAAAAACTGATACACCCAAAGCTGCTATGTAGAGGCTTGTATCGTTTGGAGGCATTAGGGCCTTCGGGGTATATGAGGTTGGTCAACGTTGTCTATGGTCTATCCGGGTGGGGCATGGGGCGGGGGTGGGGGGGGCTCACCAGATTCCACAAAAATAAAACAAGGGATACAACTTGATTGCGATTGTTGCATCGTTCGCCTTCACTTTGTGGTTAAAATTAGAGGTGTTTTTCTTTGAACCCAAAAAAAGTTGAACAATTCTTGCAGAGGGATCAACAACAATCCCAAAAAGAAAAAAACACACTCAAGCTGCGGGGAGTCCTTTTTGACCACGGCCAGCCCTCGGCTTCCGACCGCATCGGAACCAAAAGCCGGGTGCGCAGGCCAGCAGTCGGCGAGCGCGCACCGCTGCGCTTGCTGCACCTGGTGCTTTGGGTGCTGCTACATTTGGCTGGCGTGTCTGGGACAAGAGATTCCCAGCAAGGGGTTGTGGTGGATCACTCGGGGGTCATCACCTTTGCCCACTTCTGTGATACTTTTGGGAATCTCCACGAAAAGATGTCCGGGGGTAGTCTTTGGGAAGACCTTTGTGTTCTCAGAAGTGGTCATTTCCCACAGCCCTGGGAAGAGCTAAAAGTGACTAAGTGAAGATTAGAGGGGGCCAAGGATACAAGACCTGAAAATCAAGGTTTAGAGGGGAACTCATGAGATCTGCTTGGCTATGTCTACACTGCTTAGGGAGCTTATGCATGTGGAGCACAGCAAGCAAGATACAAACTATAAGATTGCCAGTGGACACCACAGGATTGAACGAATACATAACTCTGGGGTCATCGTCATTAGACTTCGCATGCAAGGCGTTTGTCTACTTAAGCTTCGGTGCAAATGCACAGACACCAGCTGATTCAAAGCACAAGCTTTTGGGGGTGCTGGCTCTTGCATCAAAAGAAGCCTGGCCGCCAACTCAGAATCCCAGCCATGGGAAACTTGAGTGTCTTGTTTTGCCATGAAGCCTAGGCGGTACTGCACACCATTCCTTGCTAAAATGTCCCTGGAGCTTGCCAAATGCAGGTCAGTAAGGACCAATCCAAATTATGCGCATGTTTCTTTTCAAAAAAGAAGAGAAATTCTGGGGCATGAGCATATTTTCAGAATACTTGCACCAAGAAAGGATGCAAAGTTTGTATCCAAGCCTTTGCAAGGACCCAGGCACGACACCACCAGCACATTTACCAAAAGTTCAGACACGGCTAGGACAGAGTCTCCGTGTCGGGTACTACTGGTCAGGCTCATGACAAACTGCTAAGCTGGCCAAAGATCATGTTTCTGATGTGGCTCATAGGCGCAGTGGTGGCATGTGAGTCATAAGCAACGCCCGCGAGGAGAACACGTGCTACCCAAATCCATAGCAGGGTCTAAAGCATTCGGGCCGGTTCCATTTCTGCTTAATGCCGTATCAATGTGTGAATACTATTGCGTGTGGCTGAAGGATTGCAAAGATGGCCCGGGAAGGTACAGACAATGCCTGTTGGTCTGTCATGAAGATAGACAACTCACGGGCACATGAGCGGACTGCAGCAACAATTATTATGTCAGTACCGGAAGGAGTCTCGAAGTGCATAAAGTTGGTTAGTCCCGGAGCTTCTTCGGTGCGGCTGCTAAGCACTGGACACACCGAGTGTCTTGGTTTTGAAACAGGCCGCCTCAAAGACCAACCTCGGCAAAGGCTGTGGGATGTTTGAAGCAGCTTCAGAGGCAAGGTGGACGAGTGAGCTAATTCTGCACATATTTTGCGGTGCATCTTTTCGAAGTGGTGCCACAAAGGTTTTTTTTGAGGAAGCCCCATCGCAGTTTACAGGGGACCCCTCAAAAGTGGGGCGTTTTCCGTTCAACCCGCCGAAATGTTCGGATCTTCGATTTCATTTCGCCCCAAGCGTGCAGATGAATCGAGCCAATCGAGTCCGAGGTTCATCATTGGCGGGATCCTGACAGCGGCCTCCGTTCCAATGGCAAGCTTCTGCACCACGGCGGAGTTGTTGAAAATTCGGCCATCCCAACGCTACCAACCTCCAACCATGCGGGTGTTCCCCAAAGAAGAGGACACAAGCAGAGGGCACACGCTCAAGACACATCCATGTTACGGCTCACCCGACACGGGGCAAAACGATCTCAAGAAGGTAACTTTCCGGGCTGAGCTTGCTGGTTTTTAGCAGGTGAGCATAGCGATGGAGATTCCCCTTTAAAATGGTTTGTGTAGTGGAAATCAGTCCTTGAGCAGTCTATAAAATGGGGTTGATTTGTGGTATGCTTACACACCCAGAGATAGTTCATAGTGAACTCTCTGTATGCATAATATGTATATGCTATATATGATATACATACTGTGTAATTCCAGCGTCCAGAAAGAGCTCTCATCGTGAGCTTTTACAGGCAATGACATGCATGCTGCTCCCTTTTCCCCGGTGAACAAGTGGTTGTTGAGGGGAGGCAGTGCTGAAACAGGTTTTCCTTTGAGGTCTAGCGTTGACTGAGCTCCTTCCAGGAGGCTTTTCACTCTGCACTATGAGGTGCATGTCAGTCGGGATTTCGTCGTCATGCCCGAAGCATAAGTGTTTTGTGTTGACTCCTTTCATTTGACTGCATCATTATGTGAAAAATGTTGATGTTTGTGATTGAGTCAAACAACAACAGGTGAAGGAGGTTTTGTGAATGCTTCATTGATCCGATGAGTGCTGGTATATTTGGAGATACCATGTCAAAAGTGCATCGCTGAAAGTCTGCTTTCTGCAAGGATGTGAAAGTCTGCCAACTTGTGCTTCCCCGGTGCTTCCCGGAGGTTTCATGTTGAACTCAGCCAAATCAATCCGCACATGACCTTGTTTCAGCCCAGCAGATTGATCTGGGTGAATTCTATCGACCTCACACGTCCTCACCCCAAATGGTGGTTTATGTGGGGAACATCCCCCCATCTTATTTCAGGTTGGTGAAATATTATAATTCACCTAGATTGATCCGCAAAAAAGACCGGCAGCCATTCGGTGCATGGCCTGGCCGGGCCTAGGCTTGATCATGGATGATTTGGATGGCGAGATGCTGAAGGACATCTCTCGGAGCCTGCAGCTTGATTTGTCAGGCGCATGGGCCACATGGGGTCAAATACGTACGCCTTGTTTTTGGAAGCTTGGAGCACTGCCAATTTACAGATGGGCTTGTCTCTAAATTGGGAATCCTTGCAGGGTTTGCTTTTGGTTTGCGTGCAAAAGGGGAGATTGAAAAGTAGATCTACGGAGCTACCAAATCACAGCTGAGCTTATATATTATTTCATGTCCAACCCGTGGGATGAGATGTGCCGGATCCCTCCAACGCCATTTTCGGCCTTTGGGCAAAGTTTGGTACACCATGCAGACCTGAGCTGACCTGAAGATGGGTCCCCGCATCAGACTGAGGCGGAACTTGGAATGTGAGGCAGCTCGTTTGTGCTTGGGGATCAAACCGCTTGGCTTGACGTTGTCCAACGCGTGATTTGATGTACCAGTTGGTGTTAGTCGATGGCCATGACTATTTGTTTGTGAAACTGTGGAGCAGCCCATCTCGGCGGGGCACATTTCCCGATTTGGTCTCTACGTGCGTTGCTTAGCTGTGCGTGAGAGTTTCTTGCTATCTCGCTGTAAGAGGCACTAGGCGGTTCACTTTCCTCGCGGGTTCTTTCAAAGCCAACTCGCAAGGACAGCATGGGCCACAACGCAAGGACAGATTCTGCATTAGGCTTGAGAAGTCACACTCCCCTAAGGTAAAGGCCAGAGTAGCACCCCTTCTCGAGTTTCTGAGGGATTTCTTTGCGCTATTCCTTGAGTGGCGTGGTGTTGGGCCTCTAGATTTGCCCTCAGGAGATGTCGGGACTCTCGCCGCTCTTGCCCTGAGAGCGAATCATGATGGAGTTTAAGCTCATACCTTTTCAATGAGATATCGTAGGTTTAAACTAACACATTGGGCGACTCTCGTCCAAATATGTATCACTGACATGTGTCCAATCGATTTCCACGCTTTACGAATTAAAGGCAACCAGTGAAGAGGTTCTGGCAAGAGATTCATGACCATGACACAGACTTGGCCCATTTGTGCGAGGCTTATGCAAGTAACAACTCATCCAGTGTTCTGTTGGCTTTCCTTTTTTTTTTGGAGAGGGCTTCCGTTTCATAGCAACTATCCAAAAGCAGAATTTCTGCCTTCTCCCCTCAGACCACTGGAGGTCTGGGATACTCCGCTCAGCAAAAGCTAACATTGCGAAGTTTGGGGTGTTTCTGGTTTGCGTCATCCAGGAAAGAAACAGACAACTGCCTCCAAGCTCCTACGAAGACATTGACAAAGCCCTACCCCTCTGAGTCCTCGCGCTTCGACGGTTCTAAGAGCCTGCCGTGGGCGGGGGGTCGCCAGGGGAGGAGGGTGACATGGCCATCAGCCGCTGGGCGGAAGTGGTCCAGAACGCGACCCGCTGGCTGTCTTCAGGTCAGTTCGGTTGAACATTGATGGATGTTACTGGTTTTTCGTTTGGTTCGATCATGTAACAGTGTCGATGTTTCAACTTAAAAGCGCACCTGTAGCAACCTCACAAGAGCAATCTACCAATATCTACCATTCAGATTGTCCGTTGCTCAGGTGACCTGCATGCAACGGGGTCTTGTTCACACGTTGCTCCTCTCAAAATCAAGTTAAGGGGCTTCAGTAGATCTCCGGGGGAATTCACTATCAGCCCGAAACAAGAAACGGACCCCCGAGAGCCTTGGGCCCAAGGTCGCATCCGTTTTGGGGAGGAACATCGGACAATCCACATGCCCCACAAAAACTAGGCCTGCTGCGAGGTGCAACGTTGGCATGCAAGAGTTATTGCCACACTACTGGGGGTATGTTGCATCTTGCCAGTTTGTTCATCACCAAGTTTTCCCAGGTAAATCCTCAATTAATTTTGGCTGGAATAGACACTCGCAGGTGCAGGAGGGAAGTGACAAATTGAATCTGAGCGTTACCGGGTTGGTGATGCACATGTTCGAATTACTGAAACCATTCTAGCTCAAGACTCCATTACATCACTTCGCGGTGTGCCACCTTTGGGCCATTCGGCCACATGCATGGTCCTACCCGAGGCCTGGTGGAGCAGTGCATCTCTGTGCCGGGGAAGAACAGCTCCGCCAACCCTGCGCTTCTAGACATCATCACCATGACCGAAACAGACGGCACCAAGAAGACCATGCGCCAGCGCCTCGTCGCAAAAAAGAAAGGTCCCAGCTCGAGGTATGGTCGTCTCGTCTTCGCTCGGCCCGCTGTGATGGTTGGCAAATGTTCTAGATCTTGCTGGGGGATTGCGCAAGGTGCTGCACGCAAGACTTGCGAGCCTCGGATGTCATGGCTATGACATTATTTTATGTATCTGTAAATTGCTGGTGCAACCGGGCACGTTCGATGTCCCCTGCTTCATTGTTCTTTTAAGGCAGCCGATGGAGACTGGTCGCGGAACTGACATGTAGGTCTCTTGAAGCATTGCAGCAGCTGCGCAGGACCCCTTTGCCATTGCCTGTCGCTGGGTGATTGGATTACCTATAATTAATATACAGGCAACTGGGTCGAAAAAAGCACTCCGCGCCTTTTCGTTCTGTAAGGGGCTGTTCCCGAACATGTTTTGCAGGCCCAAACCATTGTAAACCGATGCTGAGGAAAAACCAAGGATACCCCCAGAAGCCAGGAAGACACATTCGGCTCGAATAGTCTTGGTTCGTGTGAGCTGCATCCTGCGTTGTGCAGCAGCTATACGAGGCAATTAGGTGCCAAACCGAGGAGCCGGAGGGGAACCGATACTCAAACAACAACTCAGTCGATACCCAACCGATGTTCTTGTCTGCCAAATCCAACTAGCTGCCGAGTAACTTCCTGTCTACGGTTTTTCGTCACACCAACGCAAGTTCCTCCTCTCAGGACCGAGTTTACGTTTAAAAGACTCCAGGGCAAGTCCGCGAGCTGATGCCTTGCCCACGCGTGTTAGGTGGCCAAATCAACGGCCTGTACTTCCCGAGAATCAGCTCCCCTTTTTTCTTGGAGTCCTCTTTGTTTTCCACGAGCCAGGCAAATATATATATATATATATGATAATTATAGTTGTTTGCTGGGGTCCGAATTCCAGCCAAGCATATTGCACATGCACTTCATCACTGGTTGCCCCCAAGTCATTGTCTTTCCGATGCTGAGGAAAGAAAGTGCTATTAGTTCATAGGGTATCGGGGTACAGAGGTTTCATATTTGTTGTTTATTTCAGCCCAACTGGACACAGCGCCGAGGGTTGCGAGTCAAGCAATTCATCATCTGGTCGAAACGGGACACAGGACAGGCACGGTTGCGCACATAGTATCAGGGGGTCTCTTTAAGCTTCCCAATGAAGGTATTTACAACCGCCAAGCGTGCAAATTTGCGTGCGCAGTGCGCAGTCCCCGGCCGCGCGATCAGTGAAGTTCTGAGGAATCATGAATAGATTGAGCTTCTGACGGTTTTACTGCGGCATCCCAACGTGGTTGAGCGGGCCATTAAAGGTTCTACCTTAAATAATTTGTTTGAAAGATCAGGCACTACTGCTTGTCTCGTAGCTGAATCCACAAGCAGGATTTGATGTGAAACCTCCGTTGAACCATAAAAATGTGTTGGCTACCACTAGTGATAGCGACACCTTGACAACTGACCAGTATTCATTGCCCAGAGAATAGTTTGGTACAACATGCATGATGATCTAGCTAGCTATGCTGTTTCCAGTTCCCTAGCAAACTCACTGCCAAGCTGATACCTCTTTGAACACATTGCTTGCAAGGTTCCCGCAGCTCCGAAGGCAACCGTGGTTGATGACTGAAATCACGATTTATCCAACTGATCGCATTCCGCACATTATTGTTTTACCTTGCACACTGTAAGTAAGAAACTCTTTGCAATGACTCTGTTCGGACAGAAAGGGTCATTCTGCTGCGACTCCAATGTTGCTTCCCAACAGCAACCAGTTTTTACGGGTCCCTGTATTTCTCAAGAGTCAGGGGGGGTCACCCGGGGGTGGCCTAAAACTAATTATCAATGGCCTTCGGTACAGGAAGATCATTGGCGACGTCACTGACCGGATCAACCAACAGTTCGACGCCATTTCGGCGGGAATGAGTGGAGGCACGGCTGCCTGCGGAAGCTGCAATTCCAAATGGAGCCTTCAAGGTCGGCCCGAATCAGCCTCCGCAAACTTATGTTGGCGCATCACCAGTCTTGCTGGCCTTTTGCACGGTACACAAGCAAGCACCCGCACCCGCACCTACTTCCAAACCACAGACACGCAGACACAACACTTCTTTTTCAACGCAAATTACTGTCCTTTTGTGTCTTTGCCAGTGGGTGAATTCTTGGTTTGTTTCAGTATGGAATAGTTGAAGCAGGCTGGAAATCGGAAGGAATTCCTTCAACCCCGAAACATAATTTTGCTTCCGGCCGTCCGCGCGCTGAGCCTGGGACTCTTTTCAATTCTCCTTCCCCCGCCCTTTGATTCATGGAAGGGAGAAACCGGCCAAGTTGAGTAAAGCGAATGATGGACCTTCACGTCTTAACGCGTTGTACATGGGGTTGATCAAGTTTCCTGGCCCCCAAATGACCACTGGTAACTCTGTCCCATTTAGCGGGCAATATCATTTGTTCGGTGGCTCTCTCTTTCTTATCATCCTATGGACCTTTTGGTCAACCTGCACGTATGTTGCCTGCAAGTCTGCATTGGCCCCCCAAAGGCGTTCGAAGGGGATTCGTCGGGCTGCTTGGATTCCACAACGTTCAGGAGAGTAAGGCTTTTACACACGCAAAAAAACCAGCAGCAGATCCTGGAAATCCACGAGGAAACCGCAAAGTGGATGCGAACTGAACATTCGAGGCAGGCTAGGTGCACCCGGAGTTGCCTGTTTTCATTCGGAATTGCCTGCCCGGTGGCTGTGGCCACTCATTACGTGCAGCTATAGGGTTGGTTTGTTTCATTTTTTGACAAACCGTCCTCGGGGTTTAGGATGAACGGCCGCAACATTTTCGGCTTATAGCTCGTGCTGTTTGGATGGCAGGGCCGCTCTGCCTGCGCTGTGGCCGTTGGAGTCCGGAGTCTCCTGCGTCGGGAGGCGGGCTCTGCGGCCTGTGCAGAGCGGCCCTTTTTGTGGGCGGGGTCGCCACTGATCCCCGTCTCACTCCGGCGCTCCACTTCCACGTGGAGTACGCCTTGAAGCGGGTGGTCGGTGAGGTCGCCCTGCTTCTTGGCCCCCTCCAGGCCGGAGGGAAGGGTCCGAAGCCAGCTCCTGAGTCGGGAGCCGAGGACCGTAAGAGGTCAAGAGAGGCGAGCAGTGAGGAGCCTCTCAGACGCAAGAAGGACAAGAAGGACAAGTCCAAGAAGGAGAAGAAGGAGGCTAAGGCTGTCAAGAGTGGCAAGGAGCTCAAGCAGCGCCCTCAGTCAAGAGGGCGGTCCCCTAAGTCTTCGGCCAAGGAGCGGGGAGTCTCGGAGAAGAGGCTGGCAGTAAAGGAGGAGTCCTACGAGTACACCAGCGTCTCCCCCGACCCGGAGGCGGTTTCTTCTTCCTGGCGGCCTAGCCTCTCCAGAGGGGAGAGGACTGCAGAGCGGGTGGGATCCCGCCTGGCCCCACGCTCTCCGGGGGCGCATCCCAAGGCCTCGCCAGTTGAGGCTCCTGCTCCGGTGAGACCTCAGGGGGAAACCCCTCGGACTCACTGGTCCTGGAAAGAGATCAGAGAGTGGGAAAAGGCTCGAGGCATTCGGAGAAAGAAGGCCAACAAGGGCCGAAAGCACCGAGAAAGGCAGGAAGAAAGAAAGCTGAGGCCTCGGCGTGACTCCTCGGAGGATCCCGGAGACCTTCCAGAAGAAAGACCTGAGCTACATGCCTTCGAGGATCCGGAAGAGGCCGGCAGCGAGGGAAGAGAGTAGGCCCCGGAGCCTACGCGGCCATCTGCGCTGGTGGCTGATACAGCATCCTGGTTTTGGGAGGGAAGTTTTGGGCCCAGGGGTATTACCTGGGCAGAGATGTGGAGATCGTCTTGAAGGCCGAGGCAAAGATAGAGGACGAGCTGGGCCGGTGGTTGAAGGTGCAGCTGTGTGGCACTCCCGACGCAGGCCTCAGGGAGTGGGGTCTCAAGAGCCGGAGCTTATTTATATCTCTGAGGATGATACCGCGAGACCAACACCTGCGGGACGAAGAGCTCTTTTACACGACCCAGGTGAAGGAGGTGGACCCGGAGTTGGAATGGAAGAGCAATTGCCTCCCCGAGCCGAGTGGCCCCCATCAGAGTGGGAACTGGGAGGCGTGGCGGAATTGGCAGAGGAGATGGGTTTTGGCTCTCCAGTGCGAGGGCGCCGAGCGGGACGTGCTCAGGAGACGGAGGGCACAGCTTTGCCTCAAGCCAAGAAGAAGAAGAAGAAGGCCAAGGACAAGGTACGCGTGCTGGAGATGCTGAAGCAAAGCAGGTGGTCGTGGCGAGGATCGAGCCTCGATCCGGAGTTCAAGAGGCCGAAGATAAAGCTGAGGAGAGGAAAAGGAGACAGCGACTCCAGCAGCAGCAGCAGCAGTCATTCGGGCGGTCCCGAATCCAAGGTGCTGGATTCGGACAAGGAGCTCCTCTTCCCAGAGGAGAGCCAGGCCAAATATGTGGCCAGGCGATGTCCCGGGCTGCTAGCCAAGATGGGGCTCCAGCGGTGCAGGAAGACCCTGCGCGATGGGATGGGTCTTTCGCTTGCCAGCAGGGAGCCGGGGCCCGCCATGGTTCAGTACTTCCGCCAGACTCTCTCGCGTCTGATTGGCGAGAGAGGCTTTGTCGCTCTGTGCGGTCATGGACCAGCTCTTCGAGGGGGAGGTCGTCCGAGCGCTGGATGTCAGCATGCAACGCCTGAAATACCTCGAAGCCATCATGCGAGGGAGACGCCCCGAGGTGGCATCAAGGATGGAGTTGATCCCGGAGATCCTCAGCGTCGCCACAGACGAGGAGCTCTGGACGGCTGCAAAGGAGCAGAAGCAGGACGAGCGTTTGCAGGCCTCCGCGGGGAGGCGCCCCTGGACAGGGGGCAGCGGGTCAGCAAGCGGAGTTCATCAAGACCAAGGAGATCAAGCCGCCCCCTGGCAAGGAAAAGGGGGCGATCACGCCAACAGGAGTTACCCTCCCAAAGGGAGGGGCTGGTGGAGCAAAGGCGGGAAGCCGAAGGGCAAGGAGAAGGGCTCCAAGGGCACCCCACAGTCGGAGGTGGTGAAGCCCAAGCCCGCGGACGCCTGAGCGGTTTTGCAGGAGTGATCTCCTCTTCGCCTGAGAGGAGAGATAGCTAAGCCCCACGTGCCTGATCTTGCGCCCCCGTCGCATTTTTCCGCGTCCGATTGTTCCCTAGAACTGTCACTCGCTGCAGCTGGACGCTGCGAGTGGTGGTTTGAAAGTAGGGCCGAAGTTGTTGCCTTCACCGCGAGCAAGGCGGCCTGGGAAGGGGAACGAAGCCTGCCGTCAGACTTGTTTTCCCTGCCCGGTTGGGGGGGTGGTTTGGGCACGGAATATGGGGATTTCTCCTTTGATGCTTGGTTTCAAGGGGTGGTCACGGGCCTCAACTGGATGGCTGGTTACCCCCCTGTCTCTTCGGTTTCGATGCCTGGACATGAGGGCACTGCGCTGCAGCAAAAAGTACTGCGGCATCTTTGGGAGTCCATTTCCTGTGTTGGTGGGTGGAGTAAGGTTCCACTACCTAACCCCGAAGGGGAGGAGGATTTTTGGAATGCTAAGGTGGTTAATTCCTACGGGATGGAAGTACACGTCCCGCAGAATTTGGGGTGGGCCAACCTAGCACATTCCCTGCCTGTCAAAGGCAGTGCAGGAGTCGTAGACGCACTTGAAGTGTGTTCAGGGGGAGTCAAAGACTTCCTCGAATCCCCCCACAAGTGCTTGAAGCCACAAGGTTCCTGGAAGTGGCTGAAACCTCCCAAGGTCAGGGTTGGGGAGGAAGATTGGGGGCAGGTTGCCCAAGGTTTGATTGAAAGGGGCATCTGTACCCCTTGGCCCCTGGAGGAAGCCTACAAGGTTGAAGGGGAACCCCTTCTTGGTGGGCTTTTTGGGGTGCCGAAGCATGAGGTTGTCGGGGGAGCCGTTGCAAGGTGACTTAGCAACGTTGCCCCTCTTATCGCAGATGGCGCCTTTGGAGGTTAGAGAGGGTGAACATGTCCTCATCTCGAGTAAGGGTATCAAGGCGATGTTCTATGTGGTAGGCCTTCCTGAGGTTTGGAGGCCGTTTCTTTGTTTCAATAAGGTTATACCGGCCTCCCTTAATCTGGGTGGGGATAGGAGGCCACATGTGCTGTCTGCTACAGTGCTCCCAATGGGCTTCATCAACAGTGTGAGTCTTGCTCAGCACCTGCATCGAGGACTGGTCACGAGGGCGATGGAGCTGGCAGGTGTGGGTCGAGAGACGGAGCTCAGACGTGACAAGGCGGTTCCTCGCTCCCCTTTGTTTTACAGGGTCTACTTGGACAACTTCGATACTTTGCAAAAGGTGAACCCTTCCGCTGCGGCACTTTTGGAGGGGCGGCCAAATGGGGCGAGCCTGGCACTGCGTTCAGTTTATGAGGAGTTCAATGTTCCCCGGAATGTGAAGAAGACTGTTGAACAACAGCTGGTCGCTGAGATGCAGGGTGCATTGTTTGATGGGGTTGAATTCCGGGCAAAGGACGAGAAAACCGCTCGATATGTTCAGGGAGGACTCTTCCTCCTAAGGTCCAAGAAGACCTCTCTCAAGAGGTTGCAAATTGTCGCCGGGGGGTTGGTTTACCTTTTTAGTTACAGGCGACCCCTGATGTCGTGCCTCAACCAGATCTGGGTTTTCATCTCTTCTTTCGAAGGGAAAACAGGGCTGTGGAAACCTATCCATTTGGAAGTCAAGACTGAGCTGTGGCTTGGGATGAGTCTACTTCCGCTAGCAGTGACCAATTTCCGTCTTCCTTTTGACTCTGTGGTGAGCGGCCTCGGACGCCTCTGAGACGGGTGGTGGTTTGGTGATGTCTACGGGGCTCAAGCCTATGGGGGCTGCAGTGAGAGGTGAGACCTCTGAGCTCCCTGATGACTCTCAGGTTTTGGGGATTGGTCTTTTTGATGGCATAGGTGTCTTGAGGGTGGCGCTGGATCAGTTGGGGGCTACATCGCTGTAGAATCGGATGCCGGCGCCCGTAGAGTGGTGGAAGCGAACTTTGCTGATGTCCTGCAGCTCTCCTCTGTTGAGGAGGTGACGGAGGAGGAGGTCAGGCAGTGGGCCCTCCGTTTCTCCCGCGTTCACTTGGTCATTATAGGAGGGGGACCCCCTTGCCAGGGTGTGTGCGGCTTGAATTTTGGGCGCAAAGGAGCCGTGAAGCGTCCGAGGTCCTCTTTGCATTCTCACGTCAAGCGTATCATTGACCTGGTGAGGAGTGTCTTCAGCTGGGCCAAGGTGTTCTTCTTGATGGAAAGTACGTGTGTTCTCAATGAGCTGGGAGGATCGAGCAGTTTACTCTACTTCCATCGAGGTTCTTCCGTATTTGGTCGATGCCAAGCACTGCTCACTCGCGAGGCGGCCTCGGTTGTGGTGGGAAGTGAAGACGGCGTGCGCATCACGCTCCCGGGGTTTTTCTGACTGCCATGAGTATGGGGAGGTCCGTTTTGAGGTCAGTGTTGAAGCCTCGCGCTATCTTGAGCCTGGATGGGCTTTGGCGGGCCCGCCAGATCGCAAGTTGAACACGTTTACAACGTCCCAGCCAAGTGCCAAACCTAGGTGGAGGCCGGCGGGGATTGATTCCTGCACCCCGCAGGAGTTGGAGCTTTGGGCGGCGGACAACCATCGTTTCCCGCCGTATCAATACAAACGTGAGAATGGGGTGCACCATCTGAAAAAAGGCTGGCGCCTCCCTTCAGTGGAGGAGCGAGAGGTGATTTTAGGTTTTCCTTTGGAGTACACCTCTCTGTGCATGGCGAAGCATGAGAGGAAGGCAAAGAGAGGAGACTGGGAGAACAAGCGCCTTACAATGTTGGGAAACACATGGTCGGTGCCTGTGGTGGCATTGCTGTTGAAGAGCTTGTTGGAAGATCAGGGGTTTATACCCCACGTCTCCCTTCGGGAGGTGGTGGAGAGATGTCAGCCAGGAAGGGGTGCGCTTCTCCAAAGCCAACTTTGGAGACGCGCTTGGACACAGCGTTCAAGTGTGGTCTCGGACGCGGAGCGTGAGGGGTTGCTGGTGCAGAAATTGGCAACGCTGGTGTCAGCACGCGGAACCGACGTCTTGCTGACCGCCCCCACCATGTGTGTTCCAAAGTTTCAACGCCTTAGGTCTTCGGTCCCCGCTGGGTTTGTGGGGATGGAAAACTGTCTGTGGTTTGCGGTGGAGGAGGACTCCTGGGCGGCCCGAGCACATCAACAAGCTTGAGCTACGGGCCCCACGGCTTTGAAGTGGCGAATCCAGAAGCAGCAGAGGCTGGGCCACCGGTTCCTTCACCTGACGGACTCAATGGTCTCCTTGTTAGTCACCAATAAGGGGAGGTCTTCTTCAAGAAAGCTTCGGTTGGTCCTGCAACGCATGTGTGCCTATTTGTTAGCGTCCGGAAATGTTTGCTTGCTCGGCTACGTCAACACAGACCAGAATCCGGCTGACCGGCCGTCTCGACGGCCGGTCAAGAGACGATGGTTAAAGCGCAGGTAGTGGAAGGGCGCAGCCGGGCAGAACGCAAACAAAGACGCAAGCACTTAGGCACTTTGCAGGACCTTACAGTCAAACCCGCCACCTTGAAGCGTTATCGTGACTCTGTGCGAGAGTTTTTCCAGTACCTTAAGTATGAGGAGCTCCAGCTGCCGCAAACAAAACAGCCTTCGATGCGCAGTTAGGGCAGTATATCACTCATCTCTGGGAGGAAGGCGACAGTCGCTACAAAGCTAATGACACTGTTTGTGGTCTGCAGCATGCTCAGCCCAACCTGCGGCGGAATTTGCCAATTTCATGGCGACTTTTGAAGACCTGGGGTCAGCATGAGCTGCCCTCACGGGTTAAGCCGTTGACGCCAGCCACTTTGAATGTATTGTGTGGTTATCTACAGGGATCTAAACCACAGCTGGCTTTGGCCTTGCAGGTGGCTTTCTCGGCACTTCTTCGGAGCTTCTGCAGCTGCAAGCTAAGCATATACATGTCGGGAAGTCGTCGTCCATTGTGCTCCACTTGGGTTCGACTAAAATGTCGTATCGTAATGCGGGAGCTGATGCAACAACGTTGGAGAACCTGGAGGTTTCCATGTTGCTCAGAGCGTGGCTTTTGCGTGCTCGCCCGGACGATTTTTTGGTGGATTTGCGCCCGCGTGCTTTTCGTGCAGCCTTCCAGGGTGCTTGCGTCGCGTGTGGTTTTACAAACTGCCGGTTTAAACCGTACAGTCTCAGGAGAGGTGGTGCCACTCACCTCTTTATAACCACTAAAAGCTACTCACAAGTCTGCCAAGCTGGTCGCTGGTCCGCTGAACGGACAGTCAGGATCTATATTCAGGACTCTTTGGCTGTACTGTCAGACATGCAGATGCGGTTTTCACGCAAGCAATTGGCCTTCTCTAAGGTTTGGGTTGACCTCCTGCACTCGCTTGAACCCCCGCGTATGCGGAAGTATGGGGGACGTGGAAGGGACCATGGTTGACCCGCTTTGGGGGGCTGTGGTGTTTGTTTTGGTGTTGGTGTGGTTGCTTCTTGTTTTCTTTTCTGTTTCCTTGATGGAATCATGGATCCCGGATCGCGATCAGGGATGTTATTTCTCCCTCTTTTTCTTGCCAGGGCCAAGCCTGGAATGGCTACGAGTGTTTCCTGGCATGGGTTTTTTGTACCAACTACTTGCTTGCGGTGAAAATTGGAGGCCGTGCATCCTTGACAAACCGTCCTCGAGGTTTAGGATGAACGGCCGCAACATTTTCGGCTTATAGCTCGTGCTGTTTGGCCCACCCACCCTCACCTGTCTGCGGAAGGGACCATGGTTGACCCTCTTTGGGGGGCTGTGGTGTTTGTTTTGGTGTTGGTGTGGTTGCTTCTTGTTTTCTTTTCTGTTTCCTTGATGGAATCATGGATCCCGGATCGCGATCAGGGAGGTTATTTCTCCCTCTTTTTCTTGCCAGGGCCAAGCCTGGAATGGCTACGAGTGTTTCCTGGCATGGGTTTTTTGTACCAACTACTTGCTTGCGGTGAAAATTGAAGGCCGTGCATCCTTGACAAACCGTCCTCGGGGTTTAGGATGAACGGCCGCAACATTTTCGGCTTATAGCTCGTGCTGTTTGGCCCACCCACCCTCACCTGTCTGCGGAAGGGACCATGGTTGACCCCCTTTGGGGGGCTGTGGTGTTTGTTTTGGTGTCGGTGTGGTTGCTTCTTGTTTTCTTTTCTGTTTCCTTGATGGAATCATGGATCCCGGATCGCGATCAGGGAGGTTATTTCTCCCTCTTTTTCTTGCCAGGGCCAAGCCTGGAATGGCTACGAGTGTTTCCTGGCATGGGGGTTTTTGTACCAACGACTTGCTTGCGGTGAAAATTGAAGGCCGTGCATCCTAATTTGTTGTTTTTAAAATGTTGTTTTTGTTTCTTTCATTTTCCTTGTTTTTCCTTCTTCTCGAGAGTACTTGTTTTGTGGTTGTTTTACAGGGAAACCAAATCTTAATGGTGGACTCTCATTCTCGGAATGGGGGCGGGGTGCAGGTGATATGAGCGTGGCGGAGAACGCGAACATGAAGCAGCTGTTGCAGACACTCTCTGATTACCGCATGGATGCGATGATGACTCCGGAGCGAAAGTTCCGGTGGTTTTGCGTTGCAGACGTTTGCAGCGAAGTCTGATTCTGGCTCAGTGGCTTGTGAGTGTGGAACAGTTTTTGAGGCTCAACACCAGCATCTATGGAGATCAATATAGTTAAACACTTGGGCGTGTGAGTTGTTGTTTTTTTGCGGGTGCCCCTTTTCAGGTTGGTTTGAAGGAAAACCAACAGGACAACCACAAGTTTTGGGGGTGCTCCTAGTTTGACACATCCACACACACATCTTGGCTTGAATGGCCTGCTGCAGGAATCGAAAGGAGCCTCAAGGACCCAAAAGTCTCCTTTTCAAGGTCCAAACAGTTCTGAGCGACCCCATCTAAAGGAGAGTGACTTTCAGGTTTTGGGATTGCGCTTGCATGTTCCGAATGTGTTTGCTTCGAGCTAGAACAGCCTCGCACATAAACGCTTGGCTGCTTTGCCAGAAGCCCCGACTTCTCTTGCAACAGGAGCAGAGTGTCGTGACCAACAGCCAGTACAAGGACGGAATGGGACTGGGTGTGTCTACAGGTCACTTCTCCTGTGCTTGCCGATCAACTGTGGAAAGATAGGCGTTACCGGTTATGGTTCTCTAGTGGAAGCCATAGGTGGATGTTGTTTTAAAGTGTCTAGATCTGTTTGCATCACGCACCTTGGAATGAGGATTGAGTCCTTGTGTCACTAGAGTTAATATAGAGGTAAACACTTTTGAGAAGCCTTGTCATGATTGTCGACAATCATGACGGAGGGATGTTGTCCTGCTAGTGATGCCAGATACAAACATGTTGTTACGTCTTGCGTCTTCTTTGGCTAAAATGATGGTATGATTTCACGATTTTACTCCTTCATTTCGTGTCGAGCGTCGACAAAGAAAGCCTTGTGGGGGTTTTGTTTGCGGACGCCGCGTTGTGTTGCACAGACAACATCGGGCCCGCCGCTGGCTCCCAGAAAGCCTGGGTCCAAACTCTGAGAAACCCTTTTGAGAAGCTGGAGGTGGGGGGTGTCTTTGGTTACGCCTAATGTGGAGGGTTGACATGTGCACAGATTGTACCACATTTTAGGCTCGTTTTTTGTTGAGAGTTGAGGCTTCCTTTTGTGCCCTTCAAGCCACGCTGGCTGGACTCGGGCGCAGGATATGAATGCTGAAACGGACCTTCAGAAGTACTTCGTCTCCAGCGCTGCCTGCTCTGACACAACTGCAGATGGTAGCACCATCTGGGGCCGCCTGGCGGGGCAGCTGTGTGAGGCTTGGGTTTGGATTCAAGATCCCTCGTGCTTCTTACCCATGCTTCGTGTGGGGAACAACCCACCTGTTTGATTGTATTTCTTGACAAGGGGCGTACAGCCAGAACAGCTGGTTCAGAAGCCACAAGTTGGCTACTTGAATACAACAATCGCGTATGAAGGCCATAGATATGCGGCTCTGTACCAGCACAGGCAAGGTAAACCATGAGGGGAACGATGCTTGCCTCCCGGCCTAGCGCACGTCGACTTGTGCTCAAATTGTCTGTATCAGATAGATCGCCGCATTTATTACTTGCCCGGCTTTGCACAATTGTTTGGAAATGTGAACTATGTTAACCAACTTGCCACAAGGTTGCAGCATTTGAATCCATGGCCTACCTATGAGGCATTTTGAGACCCTCCAGAGGGTACTGTTCAGGATGATGCATGTGGCAACTTGCGCTGCTTCAGCCTAGTATTTCCAATATGCCCAGTTTGTGGGTTTCCTCAACGTTTCCTTCCAAGACATTCCAAGACCTAACATCCACCGTCCGGCGAGTGTGACATGTTTCCACGTAACGTCGACTTGTGATGGCCGAATTTTGGGCGCTTTTCCCCAACAAGTAAAGGAGTCTCATAAAAATGGGGGACACCCCCCGTTGAATCAACCCGGTTGATCCAGAGTTCCGAGCCCCTCTCCGATGTTAAGGCTTGGATTCCTTCTCCACCAGCCTCAACAGCTACGGCGCGCAGCAGAGTCATAGCACCTGCCGGGTTCCCAGAGCAAAGCTTTCCGAACTCCCCAGTTCAAACCGCTCGCCACATGGAACCCCACTGGGGAGCCTAGTTTGGACTGGTTTTCCTCAAATGGGACCGAGTTCCATGTTAGACTAGAAGTTCGAAGGCAATCCTTAGTCCTTGTTTCACGTTGCCTTTCTAGTCATGCTTCTATAGAGATGGATTCGGATTGGCCACTCCATGTATTCTCAGGTGCCCCCCAAATTGGTGGTTTGGATTGGTGGTTTGGGGATTCGAAGCAGTGGTTCTTGTGGAGGGGAGATGGGACACCTCCTTAACCACCAAACCACCAATCCACCAATCCAAATCACCAATTGACTACAAGCATGATGTGGTGAACTGTTCCACTCCATGTTTTGCCAGATGTGAAAACATGAACTTATGGAGTCTTTCCTTTGACCTGCAAGACTTGGAACGCTGCGATGGGCAAAACAATGCGTGGAACTCACAGCTGTCCAGGTTATGACCTCTATACCGACATTCCACAGGTGTCAGTTTAGTTATTCCGGCAGGGCCATCCCGGTTGGACACTGAGCACTACGCAAAGATGTGTTTCTTTTCATGTTCGGGAGCGCGGTGCTTCCTGCTTGAAACCTCATGGCCATCATACCACCAGGAGTATTAGAAACAAGCAACAATCTTAGACAGCCCTTCAAAGTGCTAGGAGCTTTGCGGGCCATGAGTGTAATGTAGCTCTATATCGGGCATCAACCTCGCGCTCAAATGAATATGCTCACAGCGTGTCCCAAAATAAAAGGTCCAAAGTTGCATCCGACGTTAGAGATTGATGATTGCACACGTGTGTTGTGTCCATGCGCGAGCAAGGTCTCACATCACATTCCAGTGGACGAAAAATTTGGAGAGTTCAACTCCAGTGTCCGTCTTTGTTTGTCTTGCGCGCCTGCTTGCGAGTCTCCTTGCTCTGTTCACTTGTTTGTTCGTTCGCTCTTTGTTTGTATACTTGTGTGTTTGTGCGAATCGCTGCTGTCTCAATTAAAGTTATATGGCCCCTGCAAGTCATCTGTTTTATAAATGCAGCCCGAGTTTCTCGCTCAAGCCAGCATCGCCCGACGGATAGGCTGAGTGGTGGCCAGTCCCTTGGTTTTGCGCATGGGTACATATTTCACAAAGCGTGCATAGGGTAGCTCGAGCAAAACGTCGACATGCACCAGTCCGGCAGTCAGGCTGGGAGCTGAAACCCAAAAGACACTAGGCCAACATTGCTATAGATGTTGAGATGTTGAGCAGTTTTATCTCGACACAATCCGTGAATTTCAGAGGTCTCGTTGCAAAGTGGCTGTTGAATGTTGTGCAGACCACCTTCTCGCTGTTTTTCAAAGTTGGTGTTGACACAGAGCAGTAGAGCATCACGGGCCTTCATTCAAAGATTAAGTCGGGCAAGTACTTCACAGATTCCAAAGACGCAGGTGCACAATTTGTTTGACGCTTTTTCCTTCTGAGATTTGACAGCATTCTTCGGCCGGGGGGACACAATCAATTGGGCACTTACTTTAGGCGCGCATTGAGTAGAGTCCGTTGCAAGAGTAAACCATCAGCACTAAATGTTCAATGCTTCACTAGGGCAAGGCGAAACATTTGGGAAGCATGGAGCTTTTCCCATTCCCAGCAAGGGAGCCGCAAATATCTTTCCAAATATGGACCAACGTATCGCAGATGTCTGCCTGGTGCAATTGGGTATGTGTCACACCACCCCCCCCAAAAAAAAAGAAGAAGGAGAGAATGCTTGTTGGTTTCAATTCAAAGTACCCTCAAAAACATCATGCGCCCAGGTTTAATCCCAACATCCCGACCCCCCTGGAACCGAATCTCCTTTTGAACCCTCCCTGAAAGCTGCGCCAAACCTACCCGATCGAGCCTTGGACACGCCCAACCGACTCGATCGAGGCGCCAAGAAGGTGGCGTGCACCGGCACGGCTGGCACCCCGGCGCGCCTGGCCTGCGAGGCTGCGAACAGCCCCTCGGACTGAGCAAGGGCTTGCTGAAGGTTGCTTGGTAGGACAGGGTTGGTTCATGCCTTGGGGGGAGGGAGGGGAGCAGGGGTTTTTCAATTCACTCTTACTAAGCCCCTGATAAAAGCTATTTGGGCCCTCTCCCCCCCTTCCCTCCCCAGGCCCAATGGGTTCTAGATTGTCTTTGAAGGACCTTCAGAAGTTCGTGCCCCTGCCGTTCCTTTTGCATGTCTTTTTTGTAACTGGAGGGGCTGCTGAGCCCTTTGGTCTTGGAAGATGGGTCGTCCTTTCGTCCAGAGTTTAAGCCGGGCGGGGGGGGTGGCGGGGTGGCGGGGTGGCGGGGTGGCGGGGTGGCGGGGTGGCGGGGGGCCCTCTGGTTTGACTTCTCCTTGTTGGACTTGTAACTGTTGTTTGCTTGCTTGTTGTTTGCTTGCTTGTTCGCGTGCTTTGACTTGATTTGGTTTGACCTGGTTTGTGTTTGTTGTGTTTTTTTGCTTTCTTGTTGTTTCGCTTGTTTGAGTATTTTGATTTGTTCTGGCTTGGTTGTGTGGTGTTGTTTCGGTGGTGTTGTTTGTTGGTTTGTTTGTTTGTGTGTTTGTTTGTTTGTTCGTTTGTTTGAATGTTTGTTTGTTTGTTTGCTTGCTTGCTTGTTTGTTTGCTTGGTTGTGTTTTTTTTGGTGTTTGTGTGCTTGCTGGTCTTGTTTTGTTTGCTATGTGTTTGTTGTTTCGCTGGTTTTATTGATTGGATTTGTTTTACTTGGATTTGCAGTGTTTGATGTTTGTTTAATTTGGTTTTGATTTTTTGTTTGTTTGTTTGTTTAGTTTTTGAATTGATTTGATTTGATTTGATGTGACTTGGTTTGCGTTTGTTTGTTGTGTTTGCTTTCTTGAGGGTCTGCTTGTGTTGGTTGGTGTTGCTTGTGTGTTTGCGTGGTGTTGCGTTTGTTTCTTCGTGTGTTTGGGTGTTTGTTTAATTGGTTTTGAGATGTTGTGTTTTTGTTTGTTTCTTTGTTTGTTTGATTGTATTTGTTTTGGTCTGACTTGAATGCTTGTTTGTTTGATTTGCGTTTGGTTGGTTTGTTTTGTTTATTTGATCGATTGATTCGATCTGGTTTGGTTTGACTTTATGATGTTTGTTTTGGCATGTTGGGTTTGTTGTGTTCGGCTTTACTTCTTGACTGACTTGGCTTGTTGTTTGTTTTGTTTTTTCTTCTGTTACTTTCTGTTTTGGTTATGTTTTGATTTGTCCGTTATGTGTCTGTGTTTGCTTGTTTGTTTGGTCGGTTGCTGGTTTGTTTGGTCGGTTGCTGGTTTGTTTGGTCGGTTGCTGGTTTGTTTGGTCGGTTGCTGGTTTGTTTCATTCGTGTTGATGTGGACTTTGCTTTGGTGTGTTGTTGTTGTGTGATCGTGGTGCTTTGGCTGCATGGGTTGTTCCGTTGTTTTGTTTGTTTGTTCGATTGATTAATTTATGTTTAATTATGATTTTGTTGTTTGTTTGGTGTTGGAGTATTTGTTTGTGTGTTTGTTCCTTTCGTTTCGTGTCGCTTTGTTTTCTTGTTTGCTTGCTTTCTTGCTTGCTTGGCTGCCTGCCTGCCTGCATGCATGCACGCATGCTTGTTTGTGTTTGATTGTTTGTTTGCGTGTGCTTGTGTGTTTGTGTTGTTTTGTTGTTTTTGCCCGCTTGCTTGCTTGCTTGCTCGATTGATTGTTTGTTTGTTCGTTCGTTCGTTTGTTCGCTTGTTTGTCTGCTTGTACGCCTGCTTGTTTGGTTGCTTGCTTGTTCATTTCGCTGGTTGGTTTGGTTTTTGTGTGTGTGTGTGTTTCAATTTTATGTTTGTTTTGATTCGCATTGTTTGTTTTGTTGTGTTTTGTTTGCTTGTGTGCTTGCTCGCGTGAGGGTTTTGTTTCATTAGTTCTTCCGTTTGTTTTCTTTTCTTTTCATGTGTTTTTTCCTTGTTTGTTTGTTTGTGTGTGTGTGTCTTGAAACCTGCAACGCTTTTTGCTTGTCTTGTCATGCTTCATGTGCGCATGCGCTCAAGGGGCAAACGCCACCCTGATGTTCAATTGAGATTGAGCTTCACGCAAGCTTGGGTTGGGCGACATAAACCACTCGCGCTCCAAAAAGTACTCGAAGCTTTAATAATTTGCATCACCCAAATTTGGCCAAGTTTCAGTGAGCTTCCGGGGATGCGGATGTTTATGCTGAGCCATGATCTCTTCCTGCCCAGTGAAAATGCGCTCAAGCATGCAGGGGACTGGCATTCATGTTTTGTGACTTGCATGCTCTAAAGTAGACCGTTTCAGTAGACCGTTTCAGACGATTCAGGTGAATGGTCAATTGCTGCGTGGCATGTCATGTCTGCAACAAGGCCCCAAAAGACTGACAGATGAAGCCTCTTATCAGCGTGCATAAGGAGGCTGAGGAGACAAGTATTGTTGAATTAAGTGAGAAGAACTCGCTAGATGACACGGTGGGCTAATCAGTGAGGCGCCCTTTCCGAGCATGTGGCACGCTCAGTCTTGAAAGTAGGCCGCCATGTCAATGGCTTCATCTTGATTCGATTTTGGCTCCATGTGCTCGCATCTGCTGTCGAACCTGCCAGATCTTATGGAGCTCAAGCAGTCCTTGAACACAGTGGCGACCTACAAGTGCAGGGAGTTCACAAACGCAGATGGGACCCGCTGCGATCTTCTGGCTATGAACCAGGCGAGCACATCTGTTGTTTTCCCCCGGGCCTTTGTGGATCCACTGCTGCAATCCCAGCTTCCATTTGCTCATTATGTTTTTGTTGTTTTACATGTCTCTCGATTGGTTTTAAAGGGAATCTATCACTGCTAAACAATTTGTTTCCAGGAGACTTAAGCAACGGGAGGGTAGCTAACCAGCCACCGTCCTTTTAGCGTTTACAGGGCGGTGTTCTTAGTTCTATAGTTACTCAGATGATCAAACACAAAGAGCTTCAAGGCTGTCTCTGAGCTGAAGGCCGTCACTGTCAACACATGCGCAAGTTTCTGAGAAACCAGCTGAACAGGAAAGCTCAGACCTACCAACAAACTGGCCCTTTTGACCCATTGGAATTCTCCGGGTTTGCGCACATCGCTTTGCACATTTCACATGCATGCACCGCGTAGCATGGCTTGGGTTTCTTATGGCTTTTGTCAGCGACCTCCGGTGCCCTTTGGGTTGGGGAGGTAGGGTTACCTGTTGAAACCAACTAGGTCCTTTTACCGTTTCTTTTTTTGGGGAGGGTTCCCCTACTAAAATAGACTACAGAAAAAGTGGGTACCCTTATTCCAACCTGCCTACTGGAGGACGTAGCCAACCAGAAGGAGGGCCCCTTCACCCCAAGCAATTGCATGGCGAGAGGATGCTCGAAGGCCCTTCCAGAAGGTAGTCAAAGCATGGCGGCCACTTCTGTTCCGGGACCGCTTCACAACCTGCTGCTGGCGGTGACAATGCAAAAACACAAGCGGGTAAAACCGTCATATCAGAGGTCAGACAGGGGTTGGGCAAGCTAGCTAGCTGCAGCATCAGTCTTGCTTTGCAGAGTCACAGAAACAGAGGAATCAACCTGATATCGCTTATCCAGGACCGCTTGACTTGTTACAAACGGCCTGCTTTGCAGCAATGAAGGACCTTCTGATGTGTTCAAGTTCAGCAAGCATGCCCCGTGACATGAGAGCCCAGCAGCGCTGCCATTGCAAGGTGTCTCGGGCAACTGATTGCTCACTGTTGTGCAATCCCTTCTCAAACCATGCCGAGCGTCTAAGCACCTGTAAATTTGTGGATAAATGATTGTCAATCAGGGGATGGTTGCTTGCTTGCTTGCTTGCTTGCTTGCTTGCTTGCTTGCTTGCTTGCTTGCTTGCTTGCTTGCTTGCTTGCTTGCTTGCTTGCTTGCTTGCTTGCTTGCTTGCTTGCTTGCTTGCCTGCTTGGGTGAGCAGTCAACTCCTGTAGGATTAGAGATCCATACAGCTTCAGCGGAGGGCCCCTGTTGAGGTCAGTCCGGGCAGCTACGAGAACGACTGCTTCCGGCCGGACGGCACATTGCAAGCGGAGGATTTCGACTGCACGCTGGAGGAGGGGAGGCATATGTCAAATCGAGTTGGACCGTGTCTTGCTCACGGCTCAAAAGCGGACATCATGTGGCTAAGCATTTTTAGGGGACCAGTTGAAAAGTGTCTGGTGGACATATCTCCTCCACCTACATGATGTCTGCCAAGGGTCCTTAATTGAAAGTCATGCCCAAATGGCATCCAACCATTCAGGAGATCTCCGCAAGCATGCTGCGCTGTATTTGTCCCCGCGGTTGTAGCAGCCCAGAACAACTGGATCTTGTTGCCCATGCGAGAGAGCGGGCGCGCGCGCGCGCGCCTTAGGAGGCTCAGCAGCCTCCCGAATTTCCCTTCTGCTCAAGTTATGGTAGGATTGATTCAGGTTGGTTTGGGGTTGGTTGGCCTTGAGAATTGGATTGCTCGGGTTGCAGGCGAGCCAGGGTGCGGTTTCGTAGTGGCTTAGAGATGTTTGGGGGCGCTGGCCGGGGGGGAGGGATGCTGGTTTTTGCACAGTGTTGATATACCTTGACAGCATCCTTTGGCTCAAGGATGCTCAAGGCCTTGATGTCCCCTCTTCAAGACTCATTGAGATAGGGCAGAGAAGCAGTGTTGCTGCGTGCGCCTCACAGAGAAGACCCACAGTGTATAACCAGGACGTCCAGACTGTGGATGGACGAAATCCTACACCACTTGGAAACCATGGGAAACTATTCTTTGTTGGAATCATCATTCCAGGGTTTCTTAGGTGGTGCGAAATGGATTTCGTCCATCCACAGTAGGGCATTCCTCATATGCCCATCACTTTGACGCTCCTTGTATTCCCAGAGAATGGTTCAAGGGACCCGCGTGCATCTGCTATTAGGGTCCGTGTCGGTCCACACACACACACACCCAGGGGGTTGAGGGGAACACTGGCCATGGTACCATATAAAAATAAATAAAAATGTGCATATACATATATGTATGTGTGTATATATCATTTGGTGGTGGTGGTGGTGGTGGTGGTGGTGGTGGTGGTGGTGGTGGTGGTGGTGGTGGTGGTGGTGGTGGTGGTTTTGTTTGCTTTGTGTGTGTGAGTCTTGTTGTGCGCGGTTGTGTTGATGTAGTTTTGCATTTGTGCGCGGCAGTGTGTGCGGGTCTGTGTTTGTGTGGTTTTGTGCGTGTGCGTGAGTGTGTGTGTTTATTTCTTGTGTGGTTGTCTTTCATTGCGTTTTTTTTTGTGTGTCTGTGCTGTGGAGTAAACCCTGGTCATCTTGGTGTGCTTGGTTTGAAGGAAAGCCAAAAGGAAAGTCAGCATGTTGCTCCCCCCAATCTGAAACATGCCAGAACGACTTGATTTCAGGCTCGCGATTCACTCCAGCCAACAGGGAAACCCTGATTTGCGTGGAACTCAAAGCAGGGATTCCTCGAATGGACGTCTTCAAACAGGAGTGGGATTAGCAGATAGTGTTGGACCGACTTGGGGTCAACAGGGCTTTGTACAAAGGCCCCACGTGAAAACTACACACCGTTGACCAATGTAATCAGGCGTGCGGCTTCTTTCATTAGTCATGAGGCTCATTGTGGACAGGCACTGAGAGAGGTAGGCAAACTGTCAGGTCCTTCTTTTGCAATCCTTCTGCCGGATGTTGTGTTCCCTTGTTACGTACCGAACATCCGCAAGCTGGGAGCCCATACGAACGCCGCATGGCAGGAGTTCACACTCCTGGTGAGCAGTTTCTCCTCCCAGCTGCAGAAGGCCTTTGTACGCCTGGACAATGTCACTGTCCTCGCCGCTCCGATGAACGGGTTAAACACATGGGTATGTCTCGAAAAAAAGGGACCCCCCAAAATGCCTGGTTTTCCTTTAAACCACCCTTTTGGGGGGGTCCCTCAAAAAAGCAAACCCACATATCCAGTGCCTTTCTGGTCTGCAACCCATGTTTCGCCTTTAAAGGTGCCAAACAGGGCCCCAAAAATGTTGGACAACCCAACTGGCCTTGCAAAAGCCGTCCAGACTTCTACCGCCGGCAAAACACAAATATGGACGGAGGGGTTTTGGCTTGCGACCATCCCTTTTTTCAGGCCGGTGAACTGGTGCAATTCATCCAGATGGTTCGAGGGCAGTCACTGAGCAGATTGACGTTACGGCCTCCCCTTAGCTCCGTTTGAGGTAGCAACATGTTGAAAACCGTCTCACACTCGTGGCAAAACCAACAGCCCAAACATTTCCATGGCTGTTTGGGCATTCGACGGGATGAGGGCTTGGACACCCCTTGCTTACGTTTGGATGCAGGCCACTTTGAGATTGCAAGTGCACTGGTTAGGCAGAAGACTTGTTTCCCTTCTTGGCAGGGCAGATCCCAGTTTATGTACTAGGTATCTAAAACTTGAATATTCGGCAGAGGTGGCAAACATTGCAGATGTGGCAGTCAAGTGTGTGCAACAATCCAGACTTCTAGAAGTGACGGTTGCCCAAGATAGAAGCTCCCACAAGTGTGTTGTTTTGTTGATTTCCCTTGCCGAACTTACACAAAGCAATCCCCGATTCTTGCACGCCCCCGAATTTACTTGTTTTTCCCTCCAGGAACCAGGCAGAGCTGTGATTTTGCTCTAGATCCGTTATTTTCACCCAGCAATTTGAGGTTTCAGATCCACGTTGACAGCCAAGAGCCCTAAAGCATGATCCGCGATCATGGTTCCGAGGTGCTGGACACCATCACGAAGGACATGAAGGCAGGGGGGTCACGCGCTGCCGATGCCCGGACCTGGGTAGTCCGATTCAGCGGTGAGAAGGTTTCAGTCATGGCCAATTCCATGCCAAAAACAGCTGTTCAGACTGTGGTAGAGCACGCCGGCACAGAAGCTTCGAGGACGATCCCACTATGTTCCTGATAGGACTTGACGCCAAGCCAACATCTTGTTTCTTCCATCAGATATATGTTTGGTTTGTGCATGTTTTCCTGATGCGCCATGTTTCGCCATAGTGCGTCATGGTGATGCAACGAGCGCGCGGGCGGCTTAGCTGGACACATCCCGCAGTGAACTCCATATAGCACCGACCTATGTGCTGTTGAGGGCTGGTGTTGTTGCCTTCCGCATGTCCACAGGCACAGGCACTCTGATGCACACTCCTGGTGTCTGACACAAAATAGACTGCAACACTCACAATGATTTCTCAGCGTGTTTCAATACGTAAGACTATCTCTCGCCAACAAGGTTGATCATTGAGACTCATCGGAGCTGATTCATGAAAGGCTTGGCTACGAGAGAAGATCAAGCTCGATGTCACTCCCCTTGTAGATGTTCACTCATCCTAAATTAGTCATAAAAGCTTAAACGGGCACGGCCTGGCAGCCTTGCAGGCGCTAGTGGGTGTGCACTTGCTGGACAAGATGGCTCTGGTGGCCAGTGGTGTCACATGCGGCTTTATGGCCCAACAGCACTTTGTCGCGAAATTCGGATGAGGGTTCGTTTGAGTTGGCTTGGCTTGGGTGGGCGACTTGGTTGCCTTGGGTATGTGTGCGTGTGTGTGTGTGTGTGTTAACCATAACATTTGTGAGTTTGTTTGTTTGTTGTTTGTTTGTTTACCTGCCTGCCTACCTGCCTACCTGCCTGTTTGTTTGCTTGTCTGCGGAAGGACAATGCCTCACCCATAAGGCAGCTGTATCTGTTGGGCACCGAGCATTCCAACAGCAACAAACAGACTGGCACATGTGGAGGTTGTTGCTCCAGGCAATAGAGGAGGTGGGGATATGATAAGACATTCCGCCTGCCTGCCGGTCTGATGTCTGTATGTTTGCTTGTCTGCCTGCCTATTTGGTTGGTCGGTTGGTTGGTTGGTCAATCGGTTGGTTGATTTGTTGGTTGGTCCATCGGTCGTGGAATCGGTTCGTTGGTTGATTGGTTTGTTCGTGTGTTGATTTGGTTTTTTGGTTTGTTTGTTTGTTTGTTTGTTTGTTTTGTTGGTTAGTTAGTTAGTTAGTTAGTTAGTTAGTTAGTTAGTTAGTTAGTTTGCCTGCTTGCTTGCTTGCTTGCTTGCTTGCTTGCTTGCTTGCTTGCTTGCTTGCTTGCTTGCTTGCTTGCTTGCTTGCTTGCTTGCTTGTCTGTATTCTTGGGGGGAGCGGAGCATACCTAGATCGGCAGGTGTGGGGTTGGTGATTGAGAAACCACAGGTGTTTTGCTGTGTCATTGTGCCTTTTTTTTGGGAGGGGTTCTATTGTGGGGTGTTCTGCAAGCTCCTGTACCTTAGCGGTAGAAAAGCCATTCACAGTCTACTTGCGGTATGCGAAAGGGGGCTTGGATGACTGGCTTAGCCTTTGATTCGGGCGTGTGTGTTGATCAGCGATCATTATTGCCACACTGAACCATTGAACCCTCGACAAGCTGTTCTGAAGATGGATACGAGTCTTCTGAGAAATTCATGATGCCAAGCCTATCGGATGCCAACCCAAATTCACGAAGCATACGGGTGATGTCACGGATCCAGTCCAATCAGTACCCATCGCCGGTCGGAGTCGCCAAAAAAATATATGGGATGCTCAGCTCCCTTGCTGGCTGATGTAGGGAGCCTGCTGTGTTGTTTGTCGCTCAGTGTCTTTGAAGAGCTTGCTTGCAACTTTGAGTGCACGCGTGGTGCTTTGTGCTTTCTGCATTTGATTGGCGCAAGCCTGGTTTCTTCAGTCGTAGCCAATGGCGTTCTCACGTGGACAATGCGCCGCAGTTTTGATGTTTCATGTCTTCTCATGAAAATGGGGCCCAAAGGACCACTTTGTCTGTGATACCAAGTTGGAATCCCCTTGAAATTGACAAAGACACAGGCATAGACCACTGGTGTCAAAAGAGTACCATGGACTTATGATGCCATGAGCACATCCTGCAACCAGGTAAACCACTGGGTCTTTTTTGCTGCATTTCCCCGTTTCCTACCTGCAATGAGGTCCCTGAAAGAGAACATCATGCACACCGCTTTGCTTGGGAAGCAGAGCCCAGTAACTTTAGAGCCTCCGGCTCAGTCCGCCGACATTGTCCTCTCCCTTTTCTCCTTCTTCCTCTCTCCCTTGTCTCCCTCGTGTGTTCTGTCGTCCTCTCTCCCTCCCTCTGCTCCCCATCCTCCCCATCCCCCCAAGCCTCTCTCTCCTCAATCTCCCTCCCTCTCTCTCTCTGTCTCTCTCTCTCTCTCTCTCTCTTTGTCTCTGTTTCTCTGTCTCTTTCTGTCTCCCTGTCTCCTTCCTGTCCACGCCCCTCTACAGAAAAAGGGTACCCTAATTCGAACCTCTCTACTCTCACACTTTCTCGCTCTTTCTCCCTGTCTCTCGCTCTCTCTCTCTCTCTCTCTCTGTCTTTCTGTGTCTCTCTTTCTCAGTCTCTCTCTTTCTCTCTTTCTCTCTCTCTCTCTCTCTTTCTCGCTCTCTGTGTCTCGCTCTCTCTCTCTCTCTCTCTCTCCTGCTCTCTCCCTGTCTCTCTCTCTCTCTGCATTGCAGCGTCACGTCCCCCCTGAGTTGTCTCGATGTCCGGGCACTGCCCCTTCATGACCCTGAACTGTCATCTCACTACTGGCTTTCCCCTTGATTTCCCCTTCATGTCCTTGACACGTTTCCCATGATGTCCTGGTCATGTCCCTTCCATGCCTTTCAACTCCCCCTTCATGTCCCTGACATTTTCTGGGTATGTCCGCTTCATTTTCCATGTATGTCCCGTTCTTTCGTTGCGAGTCATTTCCCTACATCTCCCGTCGTGCCGATTGGTTTCCTTGTGCTTTGTTTCCCTTTCATTCCCCCTGCACTCCCCTTGTTTTCATTTCTGTCCCTTTCATGTCCCTTTCAGTTCCCCTTTGTTTCCCTTTCATTTCCCGTTGCTTTCCTGTCATGTCGACTGCCTATTGCCTCCCCTCATTTCCTTGCACTTCCTTGCATTTCCCCTTTGCTCCCCAATATTTGCCGCAAAAAAACGGTTTTTCCAGCGCTTTCGCAATTAGGACGTCCAAAAACAGATTTTCGGCAAACGGAGGCAGGAACCCCAAACCAGCAAAGAGCCGGCAGAGGGAATCGAGCCTGGGACCCCTGTTCCGGCTCCCCGAAGACTACGTTTAGTGGAACGTCATCAAATTGCCGCGCGGTCCGTGGGGGAGGGGGGGGGGACGAAACCCTGCGTAATTGACGTGTCCGGGGGGGGGACTGTCGGTGAGTTTCTCTTTGAATGATTTTTGACATCATTCGTGTGGGCAAATCAAAAGTGAGCTTCTTTCAGGTAATGCATTTCTGGAACAAGCGGAACTATGGTGTAAGGGACCAAACCCCAAACAATCCAGAATAGACCCTTAGTGTCCATCATACCCCTAGGTTCTGACGTGGGGCTGGCCCACCGCTACCCACCGCAAAGCCCCGTCATTCGCCCTTGAATTGAATAAATTATGTTCTTGCGCTTGTCTATGTATGCACCATACCGCAGACCTCTAGCGCCGTCTTCTGTTTTTTTGGGAGCGGAGTTCTCTTCAAAGTCAACTACCCGAAGCACGAATTGAATTGCCTGTCACGGAAGTGCACCGGAGATTGCGGCGCGCTGCACCAATCCACAAAACCCGAGTAATTTGTGCTTCATATCTGAATTCCAGTGCACTTCCCCTTGTTCAACTGGTACCCCCGTGGTTTGATTGGCATGAGAAACAAATCAGGTGCAGCCGCGTGGATGGGTTTTAACCAGGGGACGAGCCCTAATTTTCCCATGCCCTCTTGGGGAAAGAATTTGGGTTGCCAAAATGTAGGAGCGGCATGTACTTGCAGCACTGAAGCGGGTCCAAAAAGGAACCGGCCATTTTTTGGACAACTCCCAGCCTTCGCTGTTGCTGGCGAGCATTTAGTTGTGTTGTTCTCTTTTTTGTTGGGGCCTTGCAAGCTCACCGTCGTTCCAGGTTTCGAGCCTCAAAATGTGTTTGCCGCACCCAGGCATTTGTCCTTTCGTTTTCCCTTCAAACCAAGCTAATTCTTCACAACTACCGTTTAAGCCCAAAAATCCCTTTACACAAAACCCATTTGTGTTGTCTCCTTCAAGCCAAAACAAATCAATCTCCCAACGAACAAAAATCAAGAACCCTCGTTTCTCAGGTACAATCCCCCAAATCCCTTTAAACCCAGCAAACCGGTTTTCCGCCCTCCTGCCCAAGAATTCAGCTCCTAAAAGAGATCGACCAAATTCCCAGGTACAGCCACTTCGTGGACGGGTTCTGCTTCAAAGGGGTCTGGGGCTTCACTGCCATCGCTGCCTCCTACGTGGCATGCGCCGTGCTCACCTTGTTCCTGGTGATCCTCACGCGCCACGGACGGATTCGGGGAAGCGGAAGCGGAGGACGGAGGCCCCGTTCTCCATGGTGCAAACCCAAGCAGAACCGGACATCCATGGTAAAGCGGAGGGAAACATGGAGGGTTTGCCTTGGTTCCCTGCAAGTAGCAATGTTTAGAGCATATCAAGGGGGTCGTGAAGGTATTGAGGAGGCAGCATGAGAATTGACCAAGCTTTCGGGGAGAATATGGGGTACTCGTGTGATGACCCTGGTGATGACCCCTTGAAATTCCCCCAGCCTTATATAATTGGTCCTGTTGAAGCTTGGTTAAGATCTAAGTCACTGATGAACTACTACTTGCTGTGTGGGGGCTTGAAAGTATAATATGCATTATGACACAACTTACGTACACATACGTTTTATGTTCCTCGCATAGAGCGAATGCCGTTCGTGCCTGGCAGGCCACGGTCATAGGATCGTATTTGGATGATCCCTTGCTTTGGACTTCCCTTTGCACTTGGACGCAGCGCCTATGCAGCGCCTGGATTTGTGTGATTGCAAGGCTTCAAAGTGCCGCGCCTGTGGTAGGCTTAAGTCGATGCAGGCGGGCTGATGACTTGTTGCAAGAAGGTTGCAGAATCCCCCTGCCCCTGTTTGACCAATCAGACTGGATGAGTTCTCGCTTGTTGCTGGCCCTTGGGCCCTGAAATGAGTCGCCATTTCCAGCGTAAGGCTGTGGTTTGCCTGGTGACATGCTTGACGTTTTTGGACAAGTCACAAGTCCTGGTGACACGGGGATGGTTGACTTTGAGGATGACTTCCAGCGGGAACCCGGGCTTTTCCGGCGCAATGCGCCTGGCACGTCCGGCGGAGTTTGTAGACAGGGTGTGGTTTCATGGTACTTACAAGTGGGCATGTTCTCACGGTATGCTGATACGTTTGGCTGTTCTTTGGTGTTTCCAGTAAAGTTTCGGTCATGCTGTAAGGTATAGTGCAAGGTGGTTTAGGAGGTTTTGAGGCTAGATTTAGAGTGATTTGGGATTTGTAGAGGGTTGATTTAGGGTCAGCCTTTCCTTTGCGGCGGTCTCCGCTTTGAGCTTTTCGGCTTGCCCGGTCCATTGAGTTGGCTCCGGGGTAGATAGTGGGGTTTGATTCCGGGTTGCTTCGTTTTCAAGGATTCCATAGAGCAGCGTCGCCAAGGGGAAGCGGGTTGTGTGTGCATTTTGGAAGCTCTCTCAGGTACATGATGTGGCGATTCGCCTTGGACAGTTATGAGTTGCAAAGGGAAGCAGCGGACGATGAGCGCTTGAAAGATCGGGAGTGAGTCAAAGCCATGCAGAGCCATGTTCTGCGAGTCAGGGAGTGAGGCTGGATGATGTGGCGGATTCCTGACAGGTGCTAGCCTTCGCAATACTTGACAATCCAAGTCTGACAGTCCATACCAGAACAACGAAATCCTAGTGCCCTAGTGCTGCATAGTCCAGGGGTTGGCGAAAAGCAAGAAGTTGGACGCTTACAATCGACTCACCGAGAAGCAAGGGTCACAAACGTTTTTTGTTGCCTATCAAAAGCCAGACTTGACTCTCCGATGCCATCACCCAGCTCATGTTCCCATGCCACAGATTCCAGCGCAGCCTTCACACCCCTGCAGATTAACGTGGAACCACCAAGAAGCATTGCTTTTAAAGGAATCTTCGACCTGTTTGGGTTACTTGTTGATTTGCAGGGGAACATCCTTATGCGGAAGTTGTTGCCAAAGCGAGCAGCATCAGATGGCATGCCGTGATATGTGTTATTGTTTGAACCATATCCCCATCAAGCACATTTAGCAGGTGCTTAAAGTTTTGATGGTTTGTACATTTGTGTTGACTGATTTCGATACTCAGGACTCAAAGTTAGGGCCCGAAAGAAGGCCATCAATCCCACGACGTCTTTTGCTGTGATCAGCGATTTTGTCACCTGCTTCCGCGCCGCTGGATGTTTTTCGTTGGCTGTCAGCACCACGGGCCACTTGGCAAAGCCATTCGGCCACTGGCGATCTACGATCGCGCTTATGAGGCTATGCGGCTCTCGGGGTTTCTGGCAAGCTTTGTAGATGTGGAACAGGTTGCATCCAAGCCGGTCATGATCAGCTTCGGAGTTTGAGGTGGGCAAAGCGTGCTCAGCCAAGTTGCACTCAGATTTTGTTGATTGTTCAGCTTGGTTTGCAGGTCCTCAAGTTGAGTTGCGACTGGAGAGAGATTTGAACAGGGAGCGTCACCGAGAGCTCGCCCAGATGGCGAATTTGACGCGCAGAGAGACTGTGCCACCTGGCATTTCCGCATGGGGCGGTCCCATGGTTTGGCAGCGTCTCCAGCGTTTGAGCGCCACAGAAATTGACTCGTGGGCGATGCTCGCGCTTCGTGTAGATTTATGTGACACTTGAGGCAGGCCGGAGGCAGGAGCAAGCACCTAGAGGTCTGTGTTGGTGTTTGCAGTTGGGCTTTGCTTGAGGGCCATCAAAAGCAAGAACAGGAATTGGCCAATTTCTTCTTAGCTAGATATCTTTCACAACTATGTCGGGGCTAAGGATGTGTGACTTTCACCGACCAAATTTGTTCTGGAGTTCCCTTGCTATCATTCGCCGCGGTTGGTGTTCTCGTGCACTGTCGATTGAGAATGGCTTGAGGCAAAACGCGGCACCCACGCAGCACACACACACACACAGCAACAGAACCTAGGTTTCAAGGCTAGCTGAGCAACAGGCGCCCTCAAAAGGCACCTCAGCACCATATTGATCGTCAGATCTATGAGCGGGATGCTCCTATCTGGAATCATGCGAAAGATGGTCCACCCTTATGGAGTCTTCCTGGACGTGTTGGCAGCCAGCACTATTCTAGGGATTGATTCCCCATTCTTTTCAACCATCGGTCTTTCAAACACTGGCCGTTGTTTTTTTTTCCTGGGTTTTTGGAGGTTTTGTAGAAGGAAGGATCCTGGAAAGAATGGGGAAGGTACCCCTAGAACTATGGTTGATTTTGCGAAGTGAAGTCTTTCTTTGGATGTTGTCAATTGAGGGAAGGGTTGCCACGCAGCGGCCATTGATAGGTGCGCGACTCATTTGTAGTCTATGTCAGGTCGTTCAAGCTTCTCTAGTTGAAAGGTGATCCTTGCAAGTCTGTGTGTGTGTGCGCTTGCTATATGGTCATGGCCATAGATGCAACTGTGCAGCATGTAACGTGACTGTGTATTTGGGTATTGCAGCTGAATGCATAGCCAGACGGATGATGTTTCTGTTCTTTGGTGATTTGAGTGTTTACCAGGAGCTCGGGCAGAGAGCCTCATCCAAGCCCTCAAGTGTCCTCCCCTTTCTGGGCGCGCTTGCGGCGCTTGCGCCGCCAGATTGAAGAGATCCGATGTTGGACGAAAGCACGCGTCTTCCGGCTGCAGTCCTGCAAATAGCAGCTGCAAGCCAACGGCGAGGTTCAGGGAAGGCAGCTTCCACCCCGGGATTATGTTGGCTATTTGGCTGTAAATTTCAAGAGGGAAGCCCCTCAACGGTGGTTGGCGGACATGAATCCCCACCTGAACGATGTCCACCAAAGGGTCCCCAACTACAAATACCCATCTTGGGCCCAAATGGCTGCTTTGCCATTTTAAGGTTCGCTATTCGCCAGCGTCCAGGCAGTGATTTGGAGTTAGCTGGGGATAGGGAACTGAAGGACTTGAGGTTGAGAGCTGCTTCTTGCCTGCGAGCGAGTGGAAAAGCGTTCGCCGCGCCTTCAGCGAGTACCGACGGATTGGGAACAGGCGGTGTGTTGTTTGAGTTGTTACCCGTGTTGACCTTGTTATTTAACGGGAGACCAAACGGATATCCAGATGCCCGGCATTTTGGGGGTCTCCCAATCTTGACATACCAGAACCAACTCGGATGAAGCTGAAACTTGTAGTTCTTGTCGTGCTTTGGCATTCACTCAGAGCCAACTCGGATGGACGAACGGGTTGTGTTTATTAGATACAGAACCAACCCAGGCTCTGCCTGGACATGTGGTGATTCATGCTAACTTGATGAATCGCTTCCGACGGTAGGGTATTGGCCTACCGTGGCAATGACGGGTAACAGAGAATTAGGATTTTGTCGAACGAATGGCTGAAAACTTGCGGCAGCGTCCGGTTGTGTCGTGGATGCCACAGGCTTTGGCTGCCTCCAAATTTGGGTTTTGGCACCAATGGCAACGGCATCCTTTTGGTTGCGCCTTCGAAATTGAGTTCTGCCATTTTGTCGAATGGCTCACCCCTTCTCCAGAAGGCCATGCATGTTTTTCAAGGGAACCATTTTTAATGTTGGTGGACATGATCATCCAAATGATGTCCACCGAAGGGTCCCACCCATATGGTGCGGCACCTCTCAAATCATGATGCTAGGGCCGTCCGGTTTTAGGCACGGTTCCTGCATTCAGAGTTGGGCCGGGCATCAGGTAGCGCCCATGCATGAACTGGGGGGTTGGTTCCAAGCCCTGAATCACCTGACTTGTGGGACTGGGCGTCCTTTTGCGGTAGGCGAAAAAGGCGTCGCGCTGCACAACAAAATATACCTTATGTCAAGACCAACCTTGCAGATTGGATGATGGCCTTTGTTTTCAGGATTCGAAAAAAAATGGCACCCCCAAAATGGTTTCCGTCCTTTCCTCTGGTTTCCCTTTAAAGTCAACCAGCAAGGGGTTCCACCAGAAAAAAAGGCACACCGCTTCGACTGCACCAGGTGACGATTCAGATCAGCATGCGATGATGGCCTTTGCGCGGCTCCTAGATTTGAATCCCTTTGCATTTTGGGATGTCGAATGCTCGCTTGGGTAGACCGAGGGGATAGTCGCTTCTTAGAGACCAGGCGAAGGGGAGGGTTGCAAGCGCAAAGATTGTCACAGGGCGTTTTCCTCCTCTACCTCTTGTTTTTTTCTTCTGGCAAGACCTTGAATATCAGATTGCTGAATGTGCTTCCTCGAAGTGGTTGCACGATCCGCCCGGACAGACCTAATTGGGGATGCCCTGAAACGTTGCTTTAGGACTTAGAATATTGTATGATTAGAGTCAAGTAGGTGTCTTATGGTAAGGACCCGAGCTGAACCAAACAAGCTCGTTTTGTGTGTCCGAAAGGGTTGTCAGAGAATGACTTTAGCAAGCCAATCAGTGCTTGGGGTTCATACTTTGGTCACTAGTGCTGTTGGCCTTTCGACAAGTTGAGTTGCATAGGATGCTGCCCGGCTTGTGCTGGCCTGAAACTGAGAAAGGTTGATTCAGTTGCCGGCAAAACCGGCTGCAAGAGCTTTGGCGGAGTGTTTGCAACATCGGCCTGATCAAGATAGCTGTAAGGTGATGGGTTGTGATTCCTTTCCAAACCCATGGAATCCATGCCATTATACATTTGTGTAAGGGAGTCCATGTTTGGACTCTGCGCCGGCCCTTGGAAGCATGTCCCGAAGTGTGTTTCAGCAACTGTCCGTAAAGAGGGAACTCTTAACTCCTGCGGCACTGATAGCTATTGAGGCTGCGGGGTCTGACCTGTAAAAGTTGAAAGAAGCGCCCACTGAACAACCTTTGAAGGGCGTGCCTTGTAGATTTCCTTGTGCCGGGCTTTCACTGGATTTGCAGGGCATTTGATTTGGGCAAGTTATAGCCACGTCACGGATTTCGGGGAGGGGGCTTGCGACGTTACCCATGAAGGTTTCGTTCATACGGATCTTGTATTTTCGCTGGTGAATGAAAATAACTCGCCTCGAAATTTCGTCTCTCGTGTCTCAGAGGCCGGTTCCTGCTGACCTATCTTGGCTGACCACGGCGCAAGCCTCGATATGAGGCACCAGCCGATGACTGTGATACCAAGAGACTTCCCTAGTGATAAAGTGGGTACGTCCCACTTAGGACAGCCATGTCTAGACGTGCCAGATGTAGGCCATCTCTTTGGATCCCGGATCCAGAGGAAGGTTTGGCCAGTTTAGGCAAGCATGAGCAATCTTCACTTTGAGCCAACAGTTCTTTGGCATCACTTTTCAGATAGGGAGAGAGCATAGGACGGACCTCTCGAGCACCAGACCATGCGTGTTGCTGCAATAGAAGTGGCAGCGCCACCATTTGCGTTGACCCGGGTGCGAAGCTCATCGGCTTTGGTTTTATTGTCCCTATACCTTACGGTGGTCTACGAGCTTCTCGGATCTCGAGCCATCAAATGGAGGCAATGTTTGATTCTGAGTAGTTAGATGCAACCCTTTCTTCAGCTTTGTACCCCAGGCCTGTTCTGACAGTTTTAACAATCTAGCAGCATGACCCTTCAATGATGCCAAATTTGTTCGAGGTGGCCTACATGCATGCCCGTTAAGGACGCAAGATCTTAGGGACTAACGATGAATTCCAGCAAGTCTTCAGGCGGCCCTGCGACCTAAAGGATCAAGTTCTGGGCCTCTGGGCCATTGCTTCCATGGTCCAAACGGCAGCTCCCATGCAGCACCTTGGAAGGTTTGTCCAAAGGTGCCCTTTCGGCACCCAGCGGCGGCTGGTCCCAACAAGGGCCCATATTTTTGACGAGTCCACGTGAACGAGTCTACGGAATCGCGATCTTCGAAGCTGAGGCCTTGACTGAAGCGGTACGCAGATGGCGCGCGGGCAATGTCCTGCGACCGGGTGAGGGAGCCACTGTGAAGGAGTTACCTGTTAGCAAGGTTGATAGACACGGTGACATGAAGGTTATGTGAACCACATAAACTTCGGAAGCTATGTCATGAAATCCAACATGCGTGCGAGAGCTGCAAATTCCGAAACTCTGCTTTTTTGTTGGCGCCTGGAGTCCGCATTCGATCTGCTTCGCGGCATCCTGAGTGCCAAAACGGAAGCTGCGAGTTGGTTGCCGTGAGCGACCGGCTCGAGAAATGAATGTCCCTTCACAATTGTTGGCGTGGTTTATGAGTTTTTGGGTTTTTGGTTCCGTTCATGTTTAGTGAGTGGCTGCAAGCAAGCAACAGTTTTCTTCTCACCTTCCAAGGATTGAGAAGGACCAGGCTGTGTTAGACTCCTTGCCTTGACCCCCAGAAAAAACCAATCTCACAGCGTCCAAGAGGGATGCTACCGATGGGCAAGATTTGTCACCGTGCGAACTTTGTAAAATGAGCCGAGGCAGACTTCTGTGTGGAAATTGTATGCTGTATGCTCTATTGTGATGTGCTGCGGAACTGGACAAGAAGACGTATGACAAGGTCAAGCAACATCAGGCAGGCAGGGAGGCAGGCAGGCAGCCAGACAGAGAGAAAGAGAGAGGGAGGCAGGCTGGCTGGCTGGCAGGCTGGCAGGCAGGGGGTCAGGAAGAGACAAGAAACAAAATAAACAAACAAACAAACAAACAGGCAAGCAAACAAACAGGCAAGCAAACAAACAAACAAACAAAAAAAAAACGGACAGACAAACAGACAATCAACAATCAAACAAGCAAACACACAAACAACCAGCAAACAATCGAACTAAGAAAGAAAGAGAGAAAGCAATAAAGATCCAAACAAGCACGAAAACAAGCAAAGCAAGGCAAACAAAGCAAATCTAGCAAGGCAAACAAAGCAGCAATGCCAGCAAAGCAAGCAAGCAAGCCAAGCAAAACAATCAAGAACACCAACAACAGTCTGTATCTGCAAATCATCACGAAACAACACCCAAACAACACGAAACAACGCGACGCTTTCTGTCAACAGAGCGATTTGTGTTCAACACATGTTTTTCAGGCTTATTGGGTCGAAGTAAGTATGAACACAGGCGCATTCATGCTTTGCCAGTGGCAAAGATGCGCTAGTATGCTACGTAGTACTATATCGATTCCTCCTTTTTGGACTAATTGGTCGTCCGGCCCCTTTTTGTCTCCCCATGTTTTCTTGCTGCTTGGATGGCCATGTCTGGAGTGGTCTACGCATATTAGATATGTGATATATATATATGTGTGTGTGTGTTTGTTTGTGTGCATACGACTGTTGCTGACTTCCTCGAGCTTTCAGTGCGCATTCCATGCCTTGGCATCCCATATTGATTATTGGTGTAGATTTGTACAAAAACGAGCAGCGAGCAGCAGGGATTGGTGGTTTTCAGATAAACTTTTAACAAGAGCACACTTTGCAATATACTCAAAAGGAAACAACAAGGAAGTAATTCAACGCCCCAGAAACAAGGCACACCAGAGTCAGAGTGCGACGCACGCGCTCCGCTGCTTGGCTCGTTGTCCCTTTCAGCGTCGTCGGCTCGCTGAGTTGCGCGCCCTCACCAGCCAGGCGTGGCTTCATGGTTGTGGAAATCGGATTTGATACGACCACCGAGCCAAGGTACGAGGTTTTCCAGAACGTGTCGCAGACCAAGTGGTGGTTGTTGCTTGTGTGGGCTGAGGGCCATTTTCTGTGCCAAAGAAATAGCCTTTGAAGTGACAACGTACCATCACCGAAAGGGTTGTTTTCCGCAACCATGAGGGCGTTATCAGTTGAGCAGCGGCTTATCTTAGGGTTGTTCAACATGCTAGCAGGCTATCCAACTGGTTTAACATAGCTCGTTCAGGCAAGAGGGTTCCTTTGTACGGATGGGAACGAGAACGATGATGATGTCCATGACTTACAAGGGCTGGACAACACATTGTGGCTTGATTGTGACCTTATCCAAAGAAGAACCTTATTTATATACATGTGTTCTCTTTGGAACCATATTTTGATGTGAGGGATCTACTGCTTCGGGATGTTTGGACGATACTCGCATGGTGTTATGCTAGTGTGCATCACTATGTAATCGATGCCGCTCAAACCTGTTGGCCAAATCTTTCTGTTGAATGCTGCGTCACCCTCGGCTTGCCAAGTGATTGGTTCAATCCTGGGAACTTCTATTCACAGTGTGCTTACGCACGATTTGTCCAAAGTATCCCAAAAGCATCTCTGTTGCTTGGCTTCTGGTTTGTTTGGATGGGCGTCCCGTTGAAGTCAGGAGCAAAATTCGTGGCGTAGCACGGGAGGGCAGAGCAGCCCACCGCTATGCCAAAGTCCTGGCCCTCGATTTTGAAAGCAACCGACCCGAGCTCAAAGAAAGCATCTACCATTGAAGTGGGCTCTCAAGAATCTTGAGCTCAGGGCGCTCTTCCAGATTGTTCCAGGGATCTCTTCCGGGGAAGGGATTCAAAATTCCAGATGCGGCAATCCGGGCTTGAAGGGGCGAGCCACATGTCCCCGTCATGTCGCTTTGGATCAAGCGAGGACGACGTAGACTTGTTCAAAGCCGTTCCTAGAGTCCTCTAGATGTGTGTGTGTGTGTGGTTTCCCTTGTGGTGTCCCACGCACGGATTAGAAGTAGCGCATCCTTGACAGGGTGGCAAGTGAAGGTTAGGGGATACTTCTGAGCAGAATTGGTTGCAGCCGTGTTTTTACTTCTTTACATCGTTGTGGGTAGACCGTTTTAATATACCGATTGGTTTTGAGCATGGCTCATGTGTGCTGTTTGTTTTGGAGGGGGATCGCAAGATTTCCGCTAACCCTCAATTGGTGATTTGGATCGGTGGTTTGGGGTTTGATTTGCACCCCTGGTTCTTGTGGAGGGTAGATGGGAACCCCTCCTTGACCACCAAACTACCGATCCAAACCACCAATCAGAAGGAGGCTTATAAAATCGTCAACCCCCAAAAAGTCTGAGCTGGATCATCTGGATCCAAGAGGTTGTCAGAAAGTCACTGCGCCATCTTTAAGTTGGAGGGATCCCCAAGATCCCAATGCGATGCCAGGGCGCCATGGCGACTCGACGGGCGGAAGCAGCCGGGCAGGCGAGAGTGAAGCGCGTTGGAGTCCGTTTTGTGTGATCCAAGATGTTTGGGTGACTCACAAAAGGAAAACAGGGGAGTTGCCCATGTTGAGGACACATGTTATCCAGTGCTTGTCACGTAGCTTGGTGGCTTTCAGCCATCCGGTTCCTTAGCTTTGGCTTTTATTTGTTTGGTTGGTTTAGTGGTTGGGTGTCCATTTAGCCCACTAAAAGTTAAACTTTTAGCAGGGGATCTGAGGGCAGCCCAGGTTTGCACGACTGAAACCCCCACTTGGCCCACGAACTAAATTGAGCCCAAGGATTCGTGGAGGATTCCGGGATACATTTTGATCCATGCAAGCGTCATACCGTGGATGGATGAATTCCGTTCACACCATGTTGAAAGCATGGTTGAAACCATTGTTTTTTGGCTTTTGCCGGAGAATCGAATCAGACACCCGCATTTCTGAACGGTGCTGCGATTTCTGGATTTCGCACCCATCCACATGTGTTGGTCGTTTTTCAGCAGGGTAGCCTGAAAAGGGTTTCGAGAAAAGCCAAGGGTCGCGCAGGCGTTTGGAGTCTCATGCAAAACGACACAGCCGAAGAAGAAACATATTTCTGTGTTTGGGCCTTCGAAGCCGGCAAGCTGCCTCTCGCTCGGGTCAGATCGTGGAGCACTTGGGGTTTGATGGGCAGGGAATGAGAAGTGGAATGACCCCGAGAGAAACCATCCCCTATGGCGTCCTTCAAGGGAATCCCTATAGGTTCATTCCCAACACCCTGGATCATTCTACTGAGCACCACCAAGAAATGGAGTTTCCTCCGTGATATGTGGGGTTCCATTGAATCAGAGGAGCCTAGATAGGTTAACATAGGTCAAAACCTACACGATCCCTTGATCTCAGCAGGTTTCAAAATGCTTAGGTTCGCTGTCTGTGCACCATGCTGCTCCCACCTCTCTGAGTGCTGGGTTCGGGGCCTGGCCCGTCACCGTCCCGGCTCTCCATGCATAGGCCAGGTGCACCAGCAGCACGATCTGTGAGGTTCCCTGTCTTGTCTCGGGCTCGCTTGCTGCTTGCTGTTCTTTTTCCCCTCTCCCGGTCTACGCAGGGCTTCCTTCGCAGCGCTCGCCTTCTCTGCTCTCCTTCGGCGTCCGATCCGAAACAACCTGGCTCTTGCCTCCGGCGGCTGCCTCGCTTTCTCACCTGGATACCATCTGGCGGAACCGACTGAACCTCACCCAATGAATCTGCAGTTGAGTGCTAAGTCTGCGCCGACCTTCAGGGCCATAGGTGTCCTTTGTGAGTTTGGCTGAAATTTGATGGCGCTGGTTTTCGAGGGTTTGGTTCCAATGATTTTCCCCCAATCATACGGCTTCCCTCAAAATCGTCAACCCGAACAAACAGGGGAACCCTTTTTCTCTCAGAGTCGCTGAACCACTGGGTACCAGTTCCATGGAGTTTTCCAATGCACCGATAGCCATAGCTCTTGAGGCACGCCTGAGAGCGTCGCCACAAGCGAGGAGAGCAAGCGTGGAGTCCCAGCGACTGTGGATGGTTGCGAAATCGACTTCGCACCACGAACTGATACCATGGATGAAGCCATATCGTTGGTTGGTATTGAAAGGGGAATCGAATCATTCCAGGGTTTCGTAGGCGGTCTGAAATGGATTTCGTGCATCCACAGCACAAAACGCACCAGTTGGGATGGATGAAGCCCTATGAATACTGGGATAAGCCATCAACTGGTGCAAGATTTTGTCCACCGTACAGGGAGTCTAAAATTTAGACCGGCCTTCGTGGTAAAAGACACGCCATGCTGCATGATTGCCGCTGCTTCTGTGTCTAAGATCTCATCAAAAGCTTTATCCATCAACTACGTTCCCGTTAGAGGGCCCTAACAAACGTAGCGCACGTATTTCCGGGCCCCTTTTGTGTTTGTGCGCATCGCAGGATCCACCATCATTGCATCACAGAACGGGCCGCGCTCACAGCCTTGGTCTAAATAATTGGACGGGGGTTGGGTACCGCGAAAGCACACGAAGTCACGCTAGGACTATGTGGGTGTGTCTGTTTTTAAGGGACCCCTTGTTTGGTGCTTCCAAAGCGAGCCAACAGGAAAACCACCATTTTGGGGAGTTCCCTAAAAAAGACACACCCACGTTGTTTTCATTTTTATTGCCCCTCAGTAGCTTGGACCCTGGATTCGCAAGAATCAGGGGTTCCTTTGGAAAGTCGGCCTTGGGAATCAAAAGATGGGACCCCCGCATTAACGAGGCCCCTCTTGTTTGCTATATAAGGATTGTCAAACCTCGGTGCGTTACGTGAAACGCGGTTCAGGGAGGCTTGGACTAAATGTGCTTGCACCCAGGCTCTAGTGTATGAATCATGTGAAGGAGCTGGAGACGTCATTATACTGTTAAGTTGATGTGTTTGGTTTGGTCTTTACTGTTGGGCGCTGAAGCGTGGTCAAGAATACCTGCACACGCCGAGATGCCGCCTGACCAACTTACACAAAACGCAGCTTTCACAGACACAAAGCGTCCTGTGCTCTACAGCAAGCAACTTAGTTTTGGCACGGTCGCTTCCTTCTGGCGTCCCAAGATCCAACCACTTGTGGATATAAGCAAGGGCCTTCTTCTCTAAGTACCGCCCAAAACAAGTTTCCCTCTAATTGGGTAAATCAGGGGTGATTTGCCATAGGGGTTCAAATCCAAATCAAACCCGTGACTTAAAGGTTATTCTTCAAGGGTTTGTGTTTTCGAGGCTCGGGATCCTGCTTTGGGGTGGTTTAATGGGGATCAAGTTAGACACACACACACACGCGCACAAAGTTTGGGTATACCCTTCTGTTGACAAATACCCATGATCTGGAAATCTGGAACAAGCGGGGTACTTGGAGACAGAGGTAGTCTTCCTGTAGTTTGGTAGTCTTTCCGTGATCTTCGGGTAGTCTCTTATTGTCTTCCAGTCTTCGTGGTGCCAAAATGCATTTGACAAGGGCCGCAAAATGCAGTTGTTGCACCTGTTGCCCCCAAAACAGCCTCCACAACAGATTTTTTGAAAACAATGCTCGTGATGAGAATATCCGGGCTTGAGGTATTAAAAATGCAATGCTAACAATGAGAACATCTAGGCTCGGTGCTAAAGTTCATTTTCCCAAGGCCGCAAAATGCAGTTTTGTACCTGTCGGCCTCCGGTTTTTTATGGTACATGTAGCAGTCTTTTTTGATGCGTTGCGCACAAGGCCGAAAACAGCAGTCAGAAGGGAAGAGCGGTTCGCAAATCGGACGTTACCTCGCTTCCGAACGAATTGTGGCATTGAATGCTGGTTCGGTTTCGGCTCGAACGGTTCGCAACATTCGCGATGATTTCTGTTCGGTTCCAACGGTACCAATTCGGTTCGGAGGGCTTCCGTGGTCGGTAATACTATGATTGAAGTTTAAACGGCTGTTTGCTTCATAATAAAGAAAACATGTACCTGGGAACCCAGATGGCCATTTGTTTTGTCACTGAAACATGGTCATGTTTTATTTTATTGTTTACGTGTTGTCCAACAAAGTGTTAAAACATGCGGGTTTTTGCGGGTCATAGAAGTAGATGACCAGAAACATGGTCATACGTGCAAATATGGCCACTGCGAGGGTCTGACCGTCACACCGAAAACAAAAGGCAACACGGGGTGCCAGGCATTTATTCATTTATTTAGTTATTTATTTGTGCATGTTTTTGTATAATTGTTTATGGGTGTCATCTTTATTCGGTAACCCTGGCTGCAACTCGCTCCAACTTGTCACAAGCTTTCGTGGGTTACCAGGGCTACTAGCCACCTACCCGATCGCCTCCTTCATGACTTAGGGGTTGTCGACCCCAGGCCTGGGAAAAAGTCTTTGGAGGTGGCTTATACTTGAGTGTTGGCCCAGTTAGGTGGGAAATTAACTAGGTTTGCTGCCTAGCACAACGAGTCTAGCACACGTAGGTTGTAGACACTAGCCACTTTCAAGAGTGGCTGAGCACCCAAGTAGAAACCTTCATCATAAATGTCGTAAACTCCTAGTGACGGCGCTAGAAGCAAGAGCCGGACATCATTGTATCCTGATTCCGGCCAACTTCATGCTCTGTGGTGAGGTCACGGCTTTACGCTTCACGATGCCGTCTTGTTCAGGCTCCTATTGTGTGGACTTATGTTAAAGGGAAACCCACGTGAAGCCCATGTTAGAACCACCCATGCTAGCACCAAGGGAATCCACAGGGCAGTGGCTGAATGGCCGAGGCGAAGAACTGGCCGGGCAGCTCAGCGCCTAACTCGTCTTGGTCGAGCTTGTACCCCTTTGGTGGCTTCGAAACTAAAAGGATAACAGTTTCGCCTCTTTTTTTTGGGGGGGGGTGCAAAAAAAAGACGAGCCCAGATATGTTTCTCCAACTTCAGGCAGACTTGTTTGCGGAATTTGTCATTGGGATCAAGCTGATTGGCCGGGTTCCAACCCGTTTCGGCTGCGGCTCGTTTGACGTTTGTTTTCTGATCGAGTCGGGGGTGAAGACTCGAAGCATCATTATCTGTGTTTGCAGCATTGGGCAACCTTGCCTGTTGTTTTACACACAAACCTCACCTGATGATGGAATCGTGGAATGGGCAACTTGTGGCTGCTTCAGGTGAGTGACCAAGATGAAGGTTCAGGTTCCTCTCGTTTCAGTATCTCATGTTGGTGAGTTTGCCCAAATGTCCTTGCAGGTGGGTCTGAACTGCGCTGGCTTTGCTGACCAAATGACATGCGTTTCCGGGCAAGCTCCAAGATGGGTATCGAGGTTACCAGCCCTTGGCTAAAGGTGCGAATGCGTGCCGCTTTGTTCCGACGTGTTTGCTCAGATTCCAAATACCTAAAAGCCGTGACACCCCAGGCAATGAAGTTGGGTGTCCACATGAGAAGCTCTGACACTCGACCAAGGTCGATGAAACATAGTCAACTGCCCCGAAATGTGGAAAGGACCTACTTGCATTCAGCATGACGATTGAACCTAGCTTTCCTAGCAGTCTGCCAGTCTGCAGGGCTGTCAAAACCAGTGTATCCTGGTTGCAAAATTTATTGGCCCGCAACGCGCTTAATCACATCGCTTGCATCAAGGGCATCCTTCCATCGGCGCTCGCTGCGCTTCCGGCAAAGCAAGCCGCGATGCCGAAGCGATGGCGGCCGCCCGAGAAACAGCCGCCAAAGCCGCGCATGGACAAGGCACGAAGGAGACAGGGGATTTGGACAAAATGTTTGTGTCATGGTCAAGGCATGCCATGGTCAAGGCCAAAAGTATTCAATATCAAGCTCCATGACTCTGGCATGGTGAACGCATGTTGGTTTGAATGTTAGCAGAAAGCAACACAACAGCACTTTCTCTTGGTCGGCCATGTCAGATCTCTTCATGATAGCTCTTGTCCCCAGCTGAAAGATTGGAGCAGCTCTCCTGATGGGTCATGCGTGACACGAAAGACTTCATTCCAGTTGCGCTAAAGAGGAGGCCAAAAAACAAGCTGGGCAACTGGTTGGAAGGTGCCCAGAATTGTGATACCTTCTGTGGGGTAGGGCGGCACGGGGAATGCCCACCCCTGGAAATTCATTGGTTTCATGTTGCCTTTTGTGGAAGGCAGCCTTCTTCCAAAGCCTCTCGCTTGTTGGCGTGCGCGGACTCCGCACAGACAGCCTCCGAGTATGTTGCGGAGATGAAAGAGCAGGAGGAGGCACGGGGCTTTCTGCGGGGCTGTTGATTTGGCAAACCTAGCGCAGTTCAGTCGGCCCAAATCTTGTTCCCCTTTCGTTTGATGGCTTCAACTAAACAGAATCTTTAGTCAACATGGGTCTGAACAACTGGGTTGCCGTGGTATCAGGGCTTCTCGGTCTAGCAGGTGGGTCTTGGTTTGGGCAGCCCCAAATCAGTGTAGATTCGGCCCTTATCATTTTTTTGTGTGGTAATATTGCCAGCCTTGAGCTTGCCAAAATTACAGGTCGTCAATTTGTTTTGGGAGAACATGGGACACTCAACTTACCCACCACGAAAAGCACGTTGGGCGCTAAATTTTCCCAGTCCGGTTTGGGGAGAAAAGAGTCTACTCGATTGGCCTAGCCTTATAGCGATGGATTGAGTGAAACATGTGTTGCCGGAGACTCTATTCGGGCTTGCATTTCTCATGTTGGCACATTCTAAGATTCCGAGCTTGCCTCATGAATCTCTGAAGTAGCATTTAAGACTACCTGGCTAGCAAGCTGAATGCATTTGAAGCAAGTTCTTCTTGGCACTGTGTGTGCGACACCTTACATACCCTCCTACACGCCACCATGAACTCTGACTGAAGGCGCCTGGAACACAATTGTCGAAGGGACTTTCTGGTGGCTTCCATGTTTCTGGGAGGGTTGGTATTATGTTGGCCCATGTTGGTTTGGGTACGTACAGGTCTTTGCTAGCCTTGTTTCTGGTAACCCTCAGTCTTCGGTTCCACCACTGTTGGAATTTAGGTGCTGACTTGGGGTGATAGCGCTGCACTGCCCTTGTTCCCAAGCACGACCTTGGAGGGCTGCAATTCTATCCACAAGCAAAGCCACTCGTACCAGCCAACTCCTTGGCGCAATCACAGCTCGCGAAGTATGCTCGCGCTGCAGGCGGAGCGCTTGAAGAAGAAGGGCAGCTCCACCTTGGCGCAGTTTGAGAAGGCCTGGTCTCGCTCCAATTCAGCTCGCGCAGGCAATGGTGCCAATGGCACCGACCAAAAGACCAGGTGAAAAACGATAAGGGCCGCCAGCCGTCACCTTCAGGGAGTCCTAAACAGGTTTTGACACCCAGGGTTCCGATCACTTGCGCAGGACAGAATCCAACCGGTTATTCAACACCTTACCTAGTGGACCCCAGGCAAGGTCCAGGTACCCCTTCGCTGTTTTCCTTTTGGTTTTTAAAGTACCCTTGGTGACCTACAACACCATAGTGGAATCACTGCAACCGAATTGCCAGACTCAACTTGCCTTCACCTTTTGTCGGAGTTTGGTCATTGTTGTCCCTTCCCAGACCTTCTAGGAGGGTTGCCTCATTTCCCCTTCCCGGACCCCCCCAGACCCAGCCACCCCCCAAAACCCCCAGACCCAGCCAGACCCCCCCAGCCCCTACACCCAGACCCAGCCCAGACCCGCCAGACCCAGACTCAGCCAACCCCACCCCCCCAGACCCGCCTAGGAGTACGGGGACCCGGACAACGCCTCGGGGGCCATCAAGACCCCCAGCGAGATGAGCTCCGCGGCGGGGCCCATGGCGCCGCCTGGGGCTCCCAGATCTCAACTCGCCTCCCATGTGGAGATGGAGTGTGAGAAGGGGAAGGTGAAACTGTGTTTGGTTTTTTGAAGCTGGTACTCCCGTTTTTTTGGTGGCTCAAAGGGAATCCAAAAGGACAACCACCATTTGTTTAAAAACAGAAGTGCTTATTGTTTTTTTGGGGGCCTTTGTGGGGGGGGGATCCGCTAAAAAGACGCAATTTGGGGGTGTCTTTTTTGGGAGTTGGACCCCCCCCCCCTCGCCCCAGTTACGGGATGCTTTTTTGCTCTGATGGACAAGAAAATGAACATGGCGACCATTGAGCATAGCTGGCTTGTGGAAGATGGACAGGGAGTCCCAAATTTTGGGATCCTCCAAGTGACCGTTTGGGGAGTAAATCAGGGAGAGGTGCTCTTCCGGCTGTTTCAGGGTTGGGCGCAGTGTCCTGTCAAGGGGAGCAAAAAAGGACGACCAATGCGAACTGTTTGCTTTGCTAGGAGTAGGACCGGCAACAGAGTGCATTTGATACGTGCAACTCTGTGTGATGCTCGTGGATTTAGTGAACATTTGTTGGTTTCAGTCGCCCTTGACTGAAGTACCATTCTAAAAGCAAACGGGGAACCCGAAAGACGGTGCCTGTTGGAAACTTCTCTTTCATTGGGTCCCAGGTTCCACGCTTGATTATGTCTTGGAGGGTGTCCTTTGTGGGACAGCCCAAAACATCATGGCACATTTGAGAGCAAATTGTTGCAACCGACAAAGCTGAGGCTGGATGCAGAACTGGGTCTGTCTTTTTGTGGGTACCCTTCTTGGGGTTGGGTGACAGGGAAACCAACAGGCAAACCACTTCCTTTCTAGAGTCGCTTTTTAATATGGGGGTGGGAGTGGGTTGACGCATACCGAACCGTATCTGCGGTTGAGCTCTTGCGCGCTTGGTTTGCAGTTTGACGGCTTGACGGTTTGACGCTTGTTTAGATGTGTTTGGGTTTGACACTGGATGGTGTAAAAACGTCGCTGAGGGCGTTGAGAAGCGGTAAGAGTATTGTCAAGGACGACTCACGCATTCCCTGAACGGGGGCCGCTGTGTTTGTCCTTTCAGGTTTGTGAGTCAGGTCTATGTGTCAACGGCACGGCGCATTGTTGGACAGGTACTTGTAAGAAGGGACCTGAACCATGTTCCAACTGCATCGAGGCCCAAGAAGGCTAAGAAGGAAAAGAAGAAGGACGGAACTTGGCCGACATGCAGTTTCCACCTGCGTGTCTGTTTGTGTGTGTGTGATGATGAGGTGTTCCGGCTCGTTCGCCATCAGGACAAGAAGAAGGAGAAGAAGGAAAAGAAGAAGAAGGACAAGAAAAAGAAGAAGGGCAGCAGTAGCAGCAGCAGTAGCGACAGCAGCAATGGCAAGGCCAAAGGTAAGCTGTCGAAGAAGAAAAAGAAGGACAGGACGAGGTTTGTGGTGACAATCCTAGTGATGTGTCCATAGACTTGCAGGCTTGCTTCCAATGTCTGACCAACTGACCGGCCGCCTGGAGGTTCAACTATTTGCAAGAACACTCCCTAAGATTTCTGATGTTTGTGACTCTAAGATTTCTATTGTTTTCTCTCAACATTTGTTAGGACTCTCATTAATATTTCCCCCCCTTTTGATGTTAGGATCGTATCCAAAGCCAGCGGGCACACAGCACCAGCGGTGAACGACCAGCCAATGTCTCACGGCAGGAAGCGGTCACGGCCACGACTGGTTGGAAGATCTCGAGCTTCCTGAAGGAGCGAGGGATCTCTCGGCGCGGGTCTTTTTGGTTTTGTGGGTTCCCAGAAATTGAGAGATCAAGTAGCTCTGAGTTCACGGACTTCAAACTTTTTGGGTTTAGACCATTTGGCAAGGAAAGAGTTCAGACTTGTTGCCAGTCCAGTCAGGAAGTGAGGTAACGCTTGGTTGGTTTGGATTGTTTTGGGGGGAAAATTCGGGAAACCACCGATTCGGCTCCAAACCAATTCGGAAGCTGAATTGAGAGTGGGCCATGGGGTGATGGCCCTGGGGTTCAGGCAGGCCACCATCATACAACCATCCGAGTGGTACAGTCCCCATTCTCTTCAGGGATCCTTCACTTCAAAACATGGGCCAAACACCTGGAAAAAGGCGGTTTCTAAAGAGAACGATGGGTGAACAGAATGGGGAATCCAACCTTAGAACCATTGTTTACCCAAGGATTGAAAGTCACAAAAATGGCTCCCCTCCTATGCCCCTCTGAACCCGTAAATATGATCAGTGATCAGTGCAAGCCTGACTGTTCCCCTTTTCGAAACGCGAAAAGCTGTCAATTGATTCGACGTCTAAGAACATGATATTGACTGTCGACATTTTGTAGTGCTCGTTTCATTATGCTTTGCATGATTTTGCATGACTTTCTGGCGGCCTGTCCGTTTGGTTGCGGCATTGCCATATCCTCAAGTATATGTTACCTTAGGTTTCTGATTGAGTCCGGTCAAGTTCAACTGGATGCCTGGAAGTCCCGAAAAAAGCGATTGACTTCGGCGCGCGGCTGAAATTTCTTGTGGAATCCGGCGGTTTCCGGCACGTGGTCGAGCAGCCGGCATCTGGCTGAATCTGGCTCTAGCCTCAGTCCATCGGGTCAGCACCAGCTGAATTGCTGAAATCGCCTCTGGAAGAAACCGCAGTTCACTCGGTGTCCCAAGATCAGACCGAGAATGGGTGTCCCATCAGCTAACGAGACACTCCACTGGCAGAATCCCTGCCGCTCCGTTGGGTGCAGCTGGAAGCCGAAGGTTTGAGGACGCCCATCGAAGGCTTTGTTCTGAAGCCCGTTGCATGTCCCATGCCCTTAGCTTCAGGTGGGTGTGTCTTTTGCTTGCTCTTGAGGACAACCCCTCTAGGTTGTTTCAAGGAGAATTAACAAGACAGTCACGTATTTTGGGGGGACCCCCAAAAATGACATGAGGGATGCTCAAAATACTCCGCCTCAAGGACATGTATTCGGGTGGAATAGGGGCTAAAGCCCCACAAAACGAAAACGACCAGTACAAACGAAGTCTGCAACAAGGTGAACCCCCCTATAATCGAAGGCGACCCTTTCAGCTCGCAGCCTCCAGAGATATTCCATTGCACCGAATTTTGGAGATAGCTCACCCCTCGCTTGGCCAGGCCAGTGATTCAGAAAGCTGAGAGCGAGCGACGGCTCGACACAGGCTGGCCTGTGGAATTCCAACAGGAGCCTAAGTGGGTAGAATGGGATGTTATGATGACGAGGAATGTTTAAGATCGACTTTACTGCCGATTGTGTGTGTGTGTGTGTGTTGTTTTTTTGTTTAAGGGGGGAAGGAGGGGGGTAACCTTGACAAGGGCCTTGTTATGTGGTTGTTGAAAGGCCCTTGTAGGAGGTTCTAGTGATCAATCCAGAGGCATTGGGTCATTGCAGATCGGCATTTCGAGTCCAATGGTAGCAGTATGGCCATATCTCGAGCATGGCTTGGTGCCTATTTTGCGTTTGTTGTAGGTTCCTTGATACAACTAATGTTCTACAGCATCTATGCTGCAAGCATAGCCCGACACACAGGTATACCCATGTGTCGTGATTCTGTGGGACTTCTCTAGAATGATTGTCCACCATGTCTAGCAAAAGCTCTGCATGCCCCAGGCCATAGCCCCTAAGACTTTGGGCCCTGCCAGACCCACCGGTGCTGCCATTGAACTGTAGCCAGGGTTGCAAAGTCTGAAGCAAGCAGGCGGTGGTTGTACCCAAACGGAAGTTCTTTAAAGCATGGGGAAGGAACCTGGGGATTCCCGAAAGGAAACCATATGGGATGGTTAATAGGGGTCACATTCCCTGCTGAGCACCAGCAGAAACGGCCGAACCCTGAGAGCATCGAGGCGTTATCAGTCCCGGAAAATAATTTTGCTCACTGGGGGGGAAGCCCCTGAGCTGTTCCATTTGAAAGGAGAACACCCCTTATTCATCCACCAGGTTAAGGGTGTCAACATGAAGATGTTATTTTTTGCAAGCTTGGCTGTTGGGTTCGCGACATCCCGATGTCTTGCCCTAGAAACACCAGCAACACGGCCATCTTAGGCTACAACCTCCCAGCATTCGACGCATCATGCCCCATTTGTTTTTGTAAGAGGACAAGCACTCTAACCCCTAGCTCTTTTTGCTTTTGAACATGTCCTAACGCTCACTGACTCAGATTGTCATACCGTATACCTATTGAAGGCTGTGTAGTGTTGGGAGGACGATACGTTGTTCAACGAAGAGTTCACCAATGAGGGTTTGGTTTGCCCCCTGCTCCCCCTCCCCCTCCTCGCGCCATGGGCCCAAAGCAGCTCAAACCTGAACTCGTTTCATCCATACCCACAGTAGTCCGTTTTGTTCAGACTCAATCCGTATGCCAGATGGCGGTGCGCCCACTACAGATTAGGATTCGGGACCCCCCCCCATTTTGAGCAACACGGTCAGCGAAAGGGAACATTTGCACCTCTCAATGGACAGGGAGGGTCCCTCGCCTCTTGGCAGGGGGAGATCCTGACGTGGGCCGATGCTCAGCTTTGGCGGAGGGAGAGTCAGCACCGAAGCAAAGAATCGCGACGTGTTTGGATTGTTTGACACGGCTGGGTGTGGGTTTCTTTGAGGGTGCTCTTTTCTTGTGGGTTAAAGGGTGAACCAACATGAAAGCCACCTTCTTCAGGGTACCTCTATTTTGACGCATAATAATATGGTGCTGGCTCGCTTCGACCTCGCCTGCTAATGCCAACTTGGTTGGATGTACTGCCCAAGAGGCAGCTCGATATGGATGCGAAAAGCTGAGCAGCTGCTGCGTGGTTGTGTGGCTCTACGATCCAGCTGTCTATTTTATTGGGAGCTCGCCGGGAGTAAAACGAGCTCACAATGATGATGGTCCTTTACTTGGGCATCCCTTGTCTGATGTGTTGGAATTAGTGTAGAACTGTCAGATTCCAGGCCCATTTGGTTCTGGCAGGTTAAGTTCCTTGGGTTTATGTGTCGTGTCACAGACACAGACAGACATGTACATAGTACCACCAGAGGTCAACATGGTTACTTACTTACATGATGCTCCTATGATCATGACTTGAGTTGGTTTTGAAGGACCTCAGGACCCCATGCTGACGCCTGGTTTGGTGGGAAAGACGGGCAACAGAAGCTTGCTCTGAAACATGAATCTATGGTGCATCCCTCTTCTAGTCAGCCTCGCAGGGCATTTGTTGTAGAAATTGGCACAACTCGACTGGCTGGAAGCAGGCCTTGCTACGGGTCTGCGATCTGCGGTCTTTCAACACGCGGAAGGGGATGGTGGTGGCTGAGTGCGAACAAATGGTTTCATCAAGGAAGCCTAGATCTTTCGTGTCCTGATAAGGCGATGCCTGGGCCCCTTAAAATTGCGGTTCCCATGCCAGGATATGGATGTTTGCTTCTCAGGATTTGCTTCCTGCAAGGCGTGGTATCATTCAGTTGCCATTGCTCAGGAGGGATGCTCCAGAATGGCCCAAGCCTCTATGGAGATTTAGTGAGGGATTAGCACGATGCTGAGGTACCTTACCAGCGACCCTGACAATCCCTTGGCATGGTCCAAGATGGTCCAAGATACAAGGCACCAGGAAGCAAAGCATGTTTAATATGTCTTTGACAAGTTCCCGACGGCTCCCCGCGGCTCCCCTAGGCTCCTTGGCCGACGCCCCTGAAGACCCACCGCGGTGATCGGGACAAAACGCGAGGCGGGAGGAACTCGCAAGGCACGTCATCACGGTTGCCCGGTTGCCCTGGCAAATGGAACATTGGCTAAAACCTGCCGGTCCCCTTGACCCATACCCTGAGGAAGGAAAGCAAGATAAAAGCAATTGGTGCCTAGTTTTGACACACTGTACATTTAGCCAAAACAAGAAAGGGCCTGTTGTCGTCGGATGGCGCAGGCAGGTAGAAGCCATTCTGCGCGTGTCCCCATGGAAGCTGGAACATGCCGACCTATGATGCAGAGTACTTGCAGTCACAGAAAATTCCAGCGACGCACGGCGCAGGTACTACAAAAACATGGGCACCTAGAGCTGGCAAGACGTGAGAAATGGGAAGTGCCGCCGCGACGCCAGTCAAGAAGCTAAGGGGACGAAAGCGAGCCTCTCGATGGCCTGTAGGGGAGGCACCTTCGATCCAGAGAGCGAAAGAATCTTTGAGCCAAATCAGGGGCGGAAAGCCCGATCCCCTTAGCAGAAACGACCAGTGCTTCAGTTTCTGAGGCATGCCTTGGGAATCAAACACAAAAAATGATATTTGTTTGGACTCTGTTCCATAGTCGCGTCAACATACCATGTTTGTGGAGGCCCCAGACATCGGGGGGGCGGGGGGGATTGTGTTGGTTGACAGGAAAGGGCCAAGTTCAGGTAAACCCTTAATTGGTTCGGATTGGTGCTTTGGATTTGGATTTGAACCCCTACAAAATAAATGGGAAACCCCTCCACCAAACCACCAAGCCACCAAACCGTGAGCCGTGCACCCCTTTTTCTACAAGGTAAACCCTCCGAACCACCAAACCACCGGGCTCCAAACCAATTAGAGGGAAGCTGACAAGCATAGTTGGTTGTTTTGGTAGAAAAATAGATGGCCCTGGTTTACCTGGTGGTTTAATCATCTACCAGGGTCATCTATTTGCCCTAAAAGGACACCTATGCTGACAAGCCTCTCCACGATTTTCTGCCAGACTTGCGTCTGGCGCCGCCTTTTCCGGCGCCCAAAACGGCGCGGGGGGAGAGGAGGCGCTGGGGGGGGGTTGTCAGGGGTTGCCGTATGGGTATGTCATGTAAGGGGCCCAAAACAATGGTGAGCTTCCTTTTGTTTTTTCTTGAAACTACTCCAAACAGGGGTATCCTCAAAAACAAAACACCCATAGTTCTCCCCTTCTATTCTGGGCAAATCATATCGACGTCACGTTTCGGGGGGGTTGCGACGCCCATGAAGGTTCGGTTCAAAAGGTCGCGTTAGTTTTCGGTCGGTGATTTATCCTAGTTTGCCGAGTTGTTGTGGGTTTTGAACATCACCTTTGAACTTTGGGGTCCAACTAAAAGTGAGTTTCCCTTTTGATACAGTGATGTGTGAAGGGAAAGCTAGGGAACCCCGCAATTTGGAAGCCGGATTCAAGTAGAACCTGCTGGACTTGCTTTGGGGTTTTTGGTGTATGTGCTTTCAAATGCCCCCAACTTAGATGCTACACATTCCAGGGCTACTCAACCATGTGAAATGAAGACGAAGTGAAACTTCCCAGTTGGCCGGCAACGGCTTTACCAAAATCAAGCCCTTGGAATCAAGCAGAAAGGTGCGAGTGACCGCAAGTTGATATGCAGCTGGTGGTTCTGCCCCTTCCTCAATGGGTGTGGTGTACGCTGCGGGGCGCCTCGTTGTTTTCAACAAGAGGAGACCCCGAATGGGTAGTTTCCTCTCCAAGCAAAACCAACTGAAAGGGGCTACCCCCAATCAAAAAAGAGCACACCCTTCCCTTTTGGATTTGACCGCCTCGAGCGAGTCGGGCCTTGGAGAACTACGGTAGACGCTTTGGACCCAGGGGATGATGATCCCAGATGCGGAAAATGTTGATTGTTTTATCCGACTGCACTATCTTGAGCACCGGGAAAATGAGGGAATGGCCGAACCACGAACAACAAGTAAATCTGCGGGTGTTGATTCTGCAAATCAATCGCGTCAGCAAGACTTAATGTGCAGAGTCATCAAACAGAGGACATCCAATTCACCTCAGTTTCAGCAGGCTTCACCTTCAGCACATTTTGAAAGACACAACAAGCGGACCATGCATCATGTGTGCACCCGATAGATCCGATAGAGTGCACCCGCTCTGGTGTTTCATGTGCATGTGCACTTGCGTTTGCATTTGATCTGCTTCGCTGGTACCTCTCCCTTTTCTGTTTGTGGTGGCTTTACACATATGTCAGCAGGGCAATCATAGCTTGTATTGAGGCAATCGACTGGCAATTGATCGGTTCCAAGGCACAACAGCCAAGGCACAGCAGTCTAAGGGGCACATGTGAACTTTACCTGTCAATATCTTTGTGTGTGTTTGCTTCGGGATATGCGTTCATATGCATCGCAGGTGGTTGATCTTCACTGCGAATTGTTTGGGATTGGTCGGGGCAAGCGCAAACATGTTCCCACCCCTGCCCACGTCAATGGCAAACACTCTAGCAGTTTTTCCCGCTGTCAAGTGCACAAGTACAAACAAAGTTCGAGAATCCTTTGCCTTAACCATTTCTGTGGGGGAGTTTCACGCAGAAGCTTGTGATCTTTGGTTGCTTATGGCCGACTTCCGAATTTCAGGTCTGAGGCGCGCTGACTTACTGCAACCATGGGCAGTGCTATGGTACGTGCTTGCTTCATCCCATTTTCCCCCTGGCCCTTGTCAAAGCCGTTGAGAGACTGCCATTTCATGCGGGCACGCGGGTGTGGTAACCCCTTTTTGGGTCTTGCTTCAAAGGAAAAGCATGGGCAAACGCGGGGTTCCCCTATTTGAAGACAAAGCCATGTCAGTTCCTGTGTGTTTCTTTGCGCTTTTGGAGGGTCGGCCGGGGTTTTCAGAAGGTTGTGGCTGAAAATGGGGTAGCCTCCAATCCCCAGTTTCAGAAGAAGATCACGTCTGCGGTCCCGAGGTCTTTGAGCTGCCCTGATTTCACTAAATTCGTTAGGAGCCCGGTGTCGTCACCACGGCCTTCCCCGCTGCGACCCGACTCTCCGGCGAAGCTTGCCCGGACTCAGAAGGCGAGCGGGAGTGTGATCAAGCACGGGAAATGGATGGACATTGTGCTTCTGTGATACCAGTGTAACCCCGAAAGTGAAGTCAGCCGGTCCAGTTGAGCGTCACAAGGGCGAGTTTCCTTTCAGATCCACCGAGAGGAACTGGGCCGCGTCTCCAAGAGCAAAGTATTGGCGACACGCATTGGAAGCAACCGGTCCCTGGGAGTTGGAATGTTTGACTTCGGTTGATGCAACATCCTAGATGAATCCGATAGTTTTGAGGGCCTTCATTTCTTGGGGCGTGATACGAGTCAAAATTGAGGGCCCTAAAATGGGAAGGTGTCCTTCTAGTTGTCCATGCTCGAGGGCTAGAGTTTACCTCTTGACCCTTTCAACAGTGCAGAGCCCCTTTTTGAGGTGGCGCAGTTGTTTTTTTAGAGTGCACAAGGAAAACCCAGCCACTGATTTTTTTTTTGTGTTGCTATGTGGGTGTTTCTCAAACTAGGGGGGTTTTCCCAACAGTTTGCTGTTGGTTTTCCTGACCCATCCGCAAAGCAAGTCCACCTTTCTGAGAAACCCGCGTAT